ATACGTTCGGGAACGAAAGTGTGGTGTAAGAAGGGATGCGATGTTAGAAGAATTGTAGAGAGGAGCGACAGAAGTGTGTGTATGTGTGTGTGAAGTGTATTGTGCAAACGAGCCGAAGTGAGGTAGGCGTGGTTAGAAGCGTGTACATATGCTTCATCTATGCTATAGGGTTTTTGAGTGCTTGCCCTTTTTAACTTTAGAAACTGAAATATGTTTAGGTATTATTCAGCCTTCTGTTCCACAAACAGTAGGTGACTTCTCCACAAAAAAATCCTATTTATTTTGTAAAAGCAAAGATAAAACATAACATAAAACTAAACACGAGTACAGTAAAACACAAACACTAAAACACACGACAAGGACAAACAGACAAAACACAAAAAAAAAACACGAAACACAAAATAAAACGAGAACCACCTTCTCTCACGTATACTGTAACTTGATCACTTATTTCTATATTGCCGAGGCCACCATCATATTGCACACTACAACCAACGAGTCCACCACTGGAACTGGAAGTAGGACTTTCTTGAAGGGCCGGGGACTTTTCATTGTTACCTCGGCCCGCGAAACAGTTTTAGTTCTCATTAATGTTTAATATTTGCAGAAACTGTATATAACCATCACATATTCTTATTAAAATCATTAAAATATTTTAAAAGTTCTGTTCATAAAATGAATAAACATTCTAGGAAATAAAATAATACAATAAAAAAGAACTATCTTGCACACGTGTACCTCATATAGTAAAATAAGCTCATAAAATGTACGGTAAAAATGTAAAATGTTCATAATAAAGTTTTAATAAAATGACAAAAAAGGTAGTCTACTATTTTTTTCGGCAAAGGTTCATCTACAATACGATGTAAAAATGTTTGATAAAATATACTAAGACCAAGTAAAAACAGATAAAACAAAAGCAAGAGTAACGATGCCATTGAGGTCGCTACAGGTGTGCTTCTCGTTTTCTATTCGTCGCTGCTTCCTCACTGTGACGCGCATCCTCACCCCGGGGGATAAAAGCAGCGGTTTTGGGCGACCAAGGGATCTCGCCCCCCTCCTTTATTACTCATCCTACTTTCAATTTCAAGGTAGCTAGCTACCCTCGGCTTCCCTCCCCATCCTTAAAGTAAGGAATCCTTCTCCCCCTCTTTGCGCCATTCAACGACCTAAGACGCCGCCCTTCATCTCATCAAGGGAAAGACGAAAGGCTTATGCAGGGGACCGTGGGGGACGTATACAAGCGCTCTACTACATCCGGACCGGAAGGAAGGGAAAGGCGTCAGTACATGCATACATACATACACACATACACACACACACACATATATATATATATGTTTGAAAAACTCATTATAATCAGGTGACTACTTCATTTATAATGCTCTTGCTGATGGTGATGCATACATTACTTCGCCATGCTTATTCGGGTGAGGGGTAAAGGGTATAGCTTTTGTGGTAATTAAAGGGCTCACCATAGCAATGGTTAAAATTATGTTACGTGATGAGACAACTACTCAGATTAAGTGCTTAATACTGAGCTCAGTACTGGGCATATGTAGTCTGTATATACGGTTTCAAAACGTTTCTGGAGTGGTTTAGACACTGTGGCATTCTTAAGCATAGATGGCCCCACCCAAAGAAGTATGAAATGATTCTCTATAGGTACTTGTGCATAAACCAAACTATTCTACACAAAGGTTTGGCGCAGCTGGAAGTACGCATCGCACCTTGTATAACCTATGTGATGTATGATGTGCATTTCTTGTGTCGTTTTTAAAGAATCTCCAACTGTCTGGTTTAGAAACAAACACTTATTGTGTGCTTATTAACATTTTCCAACGATTCATGTTGGCAATTGAAGCAAGTAAGTAATAGTAGGCTTTAATTTTTAATAAATATTCATCATAAATATCTTCAATAAACATAGGCGGGGGCAGGCGTGTAGGCAGGTGCTGGGTTGTAGGCAGGCTTGTACTCGGGGTACTGGGCCTCACCCTCGTAGCTGACCTCGGCCACGTAACCGGAGTCACCGTTGACAGTGTAGGCCACTTTCTGCAGACGGCCGTCGGGAAGGAGAACGTAGTAAGATCCCTGAGTATCGTAGCCATCGCGGGTCTCCTGGTGACCGAAGTCGTTGCCGGAGTAGTCGTCCTTCACGGCATAGTTGAAGTCGTACTTGGCAGGGACCTGGAAAAATTGCACAAATTAAAATCGGGTAATAGTAAATTCTCTTTTACAATTTATCAGTAACAACTATGATTTTCAGATTTTCTAAAACAGTACTTACCTCATAGGTAGGCTGAGGAGCATATCCATAGGCTGGTTGAGAAGGAGCAGATGCAGCAACGGCCACGAGGGCGAGGGCAGCGACAACCTAGAATAATTTGTACCATTTCCAGATATTTTCATCTTTTCTTGTGTACACGCATTTATATTATATTGTGGAGTATATTACAATTCTTTCGGTTCTCAATTTTTTCCTATCATTAATCTCATTCAAGCACATTAATAACATTTCTTACCTTGGTAAACATGATGAATGTAAATGAAGTGTGATGCTCCTATCTCACACCAAGTCCCTTTTATACTGTCCGCGAGTAGGCCTACAGTAGACACGCCCCTTGCGTGCGACCTTCACCTTGGGTGGATTATAACCATCATCATCCTCTCCATTACCACTTTACAGAATAGTTCTGTATATATATAGTGTGTGTGTGTGTGTATGTGTATATAATTTTGACGTCAGCATTATCCTAGCATCCATTATATAGCAACTTATATTTTATTACACTTAAGGGTTCTGATTCTGAATCCTACAACCATTCAGCTTTAAGACATTTTATTACTAGAGCTAAAACGTCGATTTCGAAATATAAGGGTATGTACGAGAACAGCAAGCATTGCAACCAAATATGGTACTGTATCTCCATATAATAAATCAGTATTTTTTTAATATGGTTTTGTACCAGCGAATGACCTTATATTTTTCTGACATTATATGAACTACAATAAAGAATACTTACGTAAATTATACAATCACTGGAACTGTTACAAAGAATAGACCTCTCCGACATGTTTATTGGAGGGTGACACAGTCCTAATCAAGCAACAGTCGCATGTGTTATTCTTTTCTACAGTTGATCAGTATGTAGTATGAAAGACCTGTACTATACATTTGCGCAATTTTAATTGTAACGGGAGTAATCTGTCCTATCATAAAGAGAAATATGATGAACGTATTTCAAGGTAATGGAATAAGGGGCGTGTCTACTATAGGCCTACTCGTGGACCACAGTATAAAGCGGACTTGGTGAGTTATCGGAGCATCACACTTCATCTACCTTCACCATGTTCACCAAGGTAAGAAATATCATTAGCCTTCCTGAATCACATTTATAACAGAATGTACCTCAAAAGCGAAAATAATCGAAGTATATTCTCTATCCCTATCGAAGAAATATGAAGGAAACTCTTAATGATATATACATACATATTTCTAGACTGTCGTTGCCCTCGCCCTCGTGGCCTTTGCTGCCTCTGCTCCTTCTCAACCAGCCTATGGATATGCTCCTCAACGAGCCTATGAGGTAAGTATAATTTTTGGAAAACGATATTTGAAAAGTAAATAATACAATCTATAAATTTTACTATTGCCTGGCTCTTTTTTGTGCATTTTCCAGATCCCTGCCAAGTACGACTTTAACTATGCCGTGAAGGACGACTACTCTGGCAACGACTTCGGTCACCAGGAAGCTCGCGACGGTTACGATACTCAGGGTTCTTACTACGTTCTCCTTCCCGACGGTCGGTTGCAGAAGGTGGCTTACACTGTCAATGGTGACTCCGGTTACGTGGCCGAGGTCAGCTACGAGGGTGAGGCCCAGTACCCCGAGTACAAGCCTGCATACAACCCAGCACCTGCCTACAAGCCTTCCCTTGCCTATTAGACATATTTATAATGAATATTTAATAAAGAGAACCTACTAATACATATATATTTCACCTGTCTACATAATCAGAATATGTCAAGAAATAAACTGGTCGGTTTGTTCCAAAAGCCGACCATAAAAAAGTGCAATCCATCTGGACGCCACCATTATTCAGCAACACACATACACAGACCCAGATGTATAGGCCCTATAATATATACATACACACATTCACACAAACACACATATATATTCTCTGTAGCAGTCTCATTGCAGTACGTATTGTACACTACATATATAAAAAATCAGGAAAATGTTGAAATTTATCAGTGTAAAGTTGAAAATAATCATGCGGTTTTAAATATAAAGTCGGCCTAATTATTCATGACTGAATATACAGATGTAATACAAACGTAGCCTTTCATTCGTAAATTTATATATTAGGTACCCTGTATTCGTCACATTCTCACTAACTTTGGCTACCAAAGTTGCTCGGTGTAACAGCCCAGGCTATATTCCCACCCACCACATTACACTAAAATATAAAATATTCATTCATATGCCTAACTTCTGGAAGGATTCTGCTATTAATCATCTTGCATACTGTATAGGAAACTGTTTTTAGAATTTGACATGCGCATTGTGGCTAAGGTCTGGACAAGTATTTAATCGATGATGGTTAAAGTTGAAAAGTACTGATCATTTGGGATTTTTTAAACTTTTAGGTGATCTCTGTGTTATTAATATTATCATTATCATTATTATTATCATTGATATTATTATAATTATAATATCATTTATTACCAATATCATTTTCATTTCATAATCATTATTTTATGTTTTAACATATACTGTATTTACATTGTTACTGTTATTCACAGTATTGCTAAATAAGAAAGTTTTATTCTGGTCAGTAACAAATGAACATTTAAACAACATTAAAAACCATAATGCTATGTTTGTGCAAATATAAGGCATGTATATATGGAGTTTATTAAAGCAGAATCTTGCATGTCTTTACTTAAATTATTTTTGGACGAATGAACAATTTCATTTAAACTTTAGAGGCCAGACCGTGACATCGTCTTCCCGCATTCATCCAAAAAATAACAATATAAAGAACATGGTGCTTTAATGAACTCACATAAGCATACCTTGTATTTGCAAACATCTCTGAGTACTATACTGTGTTTTTGAATGTTCACTTGTAACTGACCAGGATAAAACTTTCATTTCGATAATGATAATAATAATAATAATAATAATTATTATTATTATCATTATTATGTCATAATAAATATTTAAAGTTTGCGTTTAATATGGTGGCCTGAATGTCTGCAGTTATGAGATCACTGCGTCATCGGCATTAACACCAGCCATTACCTTCTGGCAATATTGGTATTTATTTTACTTGTTACATGCAAGGGGTATATTTCAGGGGGTATATTCTGACTTAGGAAGTATATTGACCTAGCAGGGAAGATAGGAGCACACACACACGCATACACGGTCGTGATGGAATTCGAATTCGAATTCACCAACCCCGCTCCAGCGCCCATCCTCACACTGGACAACCATGCGCTCGACATAGTCTGTTCCACCGATGGCTCGGCGTCACCATCGACGAAAAGCTCTCCTGGACACAACACGTCAGAGACATCGTGATGTCTGTCTCGTACAAGCTTCACGTGCTGCATCGCCCTATATTCCTCAGTGTTCCACAACCGGAGCTTCAAAATATCTACAGGCTATTCATCCTGCCCAAACCTACGCCTCCCCCGCCTGGTCCCCTTCCCTAAACCGCCAACCAGCTGCTAAAACTCGAGAGTACAGAAAAAGGCAGCCAGGATTATTCTCGGTGTTGCTTATACCAGCAATGACAGTGCCTTGACTGTCTTAACCACACCTCCCCCGCCACTCACTACACTACCTGCAGTAGTTTGACCTCACGGCCCGCACTGACTGCTACCACCGGAGTACAATACCCACTCTAATCCCACTCATCAACGAGCACTAGTCAATGGACCGCCCACCGCACCTCTTCTCCGAGCACTTGTCCACAATTACTAGTCCAGCACTCCTAGCTTACCTGAACTTACACTTGTCTTTTGATATATTGTTTCTTATGCTTCTTTTGTTGCAATTCTTCCTATAGATTATTAATTAATTTCGTTGTTTGTTGTTTATATGTGTATGTATATACAGTTTGTCTCTTTATCTGTATTTTTATGCATATTTTCAGCCCTTGGCAGCATGAGATTCAATAAACCGATTATTATTATTATTATTTTTATCATCACACGTCTCTTATGTCTCTTCTGAAGCCTCTTTCTATTGTAGATATGAATTGGATTTCTTACTCTGGAGGTATATGAAGGTAAATGACTCAGTGTATGTGTGTGGCATAAATACTTACATGAATATGTAAATATAATGGTGAATGTGCGTTTATAAATATGTATTTCAGGCCATTAAATTCTGGAGTGCTGAAATGAAACATGGATCAAGAGAGAGAGAAAGAGAAAGAGAAAGAGAAAGAGAGAGAGAGAGAGAGAGAGTGAGAGTGAGAGTGAGAGTGAGAGAGAGAGAGAGAGAGAGAGAGAGAGTGGCTTGGAAACTTTGCAGGTAGAGATTGATACTTGTTTGCCTTCAACTTTAAACGGTGTGATTCACTCCGGCCAGCCAATGAAAGCGCGATATTGTTCATATGTATTTCCTGTAGTCTCAGATAAGGATTTGTATTTCCATTAATTACGAATCACATTTTGTTATAACTTGTTATTGTAAATGTGCATAGAATGTTTTGTGCTTTCTCAGCAATACCTCAAAGATATGTTCACTTTATATGGGTAAGATTTGAAGTCATTTAGGAATTTCCAACGTTTTCGAGTCATATAACGTGGTATTGACTTTGGTGGGATGAATGTCTTCAAAATCATTCTGTGCGTCTATGATATAACCTTACAAACTCAAAAAAAAAAAAAAAAAAAAAAAAACTGCTGTGTATCTTGAATCGTTGATATACTTCAATCAGTAAATTAAGTAAATGTCCGTGATCATTGGAATTACCCAGTTGTCTGCTTTAGACACGGAAATCACTCGCGATGGGTACGATAAGATGCAAAACCTATGAAACTTCCAGTTTCCATATAAAGAACACTGTATGTAAAAAAATATTTTGACTGACTCTGAAAAATACTTTAAAAATTTTCAAAACCTCGCGAAGCGAAGAGTGGTATGTATAAGTAACATAAATTGCAGAATAGTCGGATACTTTTTCCATTTTAAATGAATCTTCCATAATGTTTTGCTTCTGACTGAAAATCATACCAGCATATCTAATGGTTTCTATTGACTTTTTCGTGTGAAATAAAATAAGAAGTATCTCCTTTTCTCAAAATTTTGTGTGGTGTGTGTTGCAGCGGTAGCGATCTCGTCTAGCAGTCTTGGCCGTTGCCAGTGGATGGTAACCTCGGCCATTCCTTGCACATAGGGAGTAATTTAGAAGCAAAATAAAACAGACAGCAAGTCACACCAAGCATATCCATTGTAACAAATGGAATAAAACTTACACCAGCATGTTAAGTACTTTTCTATTTTTCTATTGATTTTTCATGTGAAATAAAATAAAAAACAACTCCTTTTCTCAAAACTGTGTATGTCAGTACAGTCAAAGCGTTAGTGGTTTAGGGATGCTACGATAAGCCCTTATATATATATGTATATATACTTATACATATATGTGTATATGTATTTATACATATATATTGGTATGCATACATATATATGCACGCACGCACATATAAGTATACGCATATGTTTTGTGCACGTATGTATTTTCGTCATGTTGAGCATGAGCATTATGTTGAGCAGAATACATAATGTACAATGCCAATTGTAATTAAGGGGTCAGGCATGGTCGTGATTAAAATTAGCATACGTGTATAAGGTTATGTCATACGACAATTAACAACTCAGATTAAATAATCAAAGTACATACCAGAAATGTGGCCTTCCATACTATGGAATACCTAACTCAAGGGTGTCGTAATGGAATTAACTACACAAGACCTTGTATAACGGTTATGGAACTTGTCAATTGTTCATATTTGTAACTACTATCATGCCCTGAAAACATTTCTTTTTGGCATATTATCGATGGTATGTATGAGTGGGAAATATAGGATATGCGTTTCGTGTGTCTAAAGAATCTTTAATTGTCGGACGCTCATTGTATACTTATTACCATTTTCTTATTACTCAAGTAAGTCGGTGAAGCAAACAAATAATATCAGGTTTTCATTTTATAAATATTCATCATAAATAAGTCTATTAAGCGTAGGCGGGGACAAGCATGTAGGCAGGTGCTGGATTGTACTCGGGGTACTGGGCCTCACCCTCGTAGCTGACCTCGGCCACGTAGCCAGAGTCACCGTTGACAGTCTAGACGACCTTCTGCAGACGACCGTCGGGAAGGAGAACGTAGTAAGAACCCAGAGTATTGTTACCATCATAGGCTTCCTGGTGACTGAAGTCGTTATCGGAGTAATCGTCCTTCACGACATAGTTGATTGAAGTCGTACTTGGCAGGGACCTGGAAAAGTTGCACAAAATTAAAATCGGGTAATACTAAATTCTATTTAGTAACAAATGTGATTTACAGATTAAGTAGGCTGAGGAACATATCCATAGGCTGGTTGAAATGATGCAGAGACAACAACGGCCACAAGTGCCTGTATTTATACTTTTTTTTTTTCAAGTACTTTTCATCTTGTGTTTCATACAAACATTTGGCACGCAGTTTATTATAGGGTATATTGCCTTTTTTTTCTAAATCTGATTAGGACAGGTTAACAATATTTCTTACCTTGGTGAACGTTATGAAGGTATATGATGTATGATGCTCCTCTCTTAACACGTTCATTTTACGCTGTGATTCGCGTGTAGGCCTACAATAGACACGGCCATTCTTTCCTTCCGTGCGAACTTCACCTTGGATTATAACGACCCTCTTAATAATACGGGTAGACCACATTGCTACTTTAAAGAGTATTACTGTTCCATACCACATAGGTGCCTCTATATATTTAATCAACAGTTTCAAGTGGCGGATGCTAAATGCAGTTTCCTTTACATTTTCAGTCAATGTTAAATCAAAATACATACACACACCAAACTTGTGTGTTTACATATTTCCTTTATTTGCGTTTGTATATTGCTGCGTGCATATAGAAATACACAAAGGTTTATGGAAAATATAATAATAGAGGCTTGGAATCTACTTACAAGGAACTTAAAACAGCAATCCTTTGCATGGATATAGCAATCATATATACAAATATATACGTATATAAACTGTTGTATACATATGTATAAACGAATATATACATACATATACATATAGTATATACACACACAAACGTACTTGTATACTTAAAACATAAACATATATAAAAAATATATACCTATACATGTACAAATATAAGCTTATGTATATATACATACATATATATGCATACATATTGTACATATAAGACGTACCTTCCCTTCCTTCCGGTCTGGAAACCGCAACCTTCGGCTTGTAAGTGCTAATTAGGACGCCTTCGGATCGTCTCATCATGTCTCCCTAAAATATCGTTCTCCGTAGCCGCATTACCCGCGTAAAGATACATACATTGACACTTAATCCACAATTGTTAAACATGGTTTTATTTTGGCATGTATGTACACAGACTTGTACATCATATACACATCTGTATACCTCGTATATGTATACTGATGTGTGCGTGGGGTGTTTATATATACTCATACATATATATACACATATGTGTCTGAAGGGTGCGGAAAATGGAGCTTTATACACGAATTATTGTTCTAAAACTTGGTACGCAGTATATCCCCTCGAAAGTAAATGAGAATGGGTAAAGAGAGTAAATTTATAATTAAATCCTAGTGTCGCTTACGCTTTACCACAGCACAATTGGAAGATGAACATAATTCAAGGATAAGGTCGGACGGAAGGAAGGGAGGAAGGAAGGGGCGTGGCTACTAGATTCGTGTAGTATAAATAGGTTCCGCTTGAAGACTGAAGCATCACATTTCTACCTCCACCATGTTCACTAAGGTAACAAATATTACAAATCTATCTATTTCTGATTTATGATGCGAAATAACTTCAAAATGTGGTAATAAAGTAATAGGGCCAATTCTATATAACAATGATATGTTTAATGTGCATTTAAAAGAGAATTTGCAATATAATGATTTACTATCTTCCAGGCTGTCGTTGCCCTCGCCCTCGTGGCCGTTGCTGCTTCTGCTCCTTCTCAGCCAGCTTACGGCTACGCTCCTCAGCCTACTTATGAGGTTTGTAAAGTGTTGTATATTAGATTGATCATCAAAATGATACGCATTTATGAGCTATTGATATATGACCGGATTGTATTCTATGGTATTGTATGAATTTAATCTGCAACTTTTTTCTAGGTTCCTGCCAAGTACGACTTTAATTACGCAGTAAAGGACGACTACTCCGGCAACGACTTCGGTCACCAGGAGGCCCGTGATGGCTACGATACTCAGGGTTCTTACTACGTTCTCCTTCCTGACGGTCGTCTGCAGAAGGTCGCCTACACTGTTAACGGCGATTCCGGCTACGTAGCCGAGGTCAGCTACGAGGGCGAGGCCCAATATCCCGAGTACAAGCCTGCTCCTGCCTACAAGCCTGCTCCATCCTACCATCCCGCACCTGCCTACAAGCCTGCCCCTGCATACGAACCTGCCCCTACCTATGAGACCACCACAGCCTACGCCTAAATGAACTTTAATTGAATATATTTTTATAGCTATTTATGAAACTGGAACTCTAGTAACATGTGTCTGTTTTTCCCTTTAACATGCATAATAACAATATTAATATGTACAAATAGTACTCTGCATCACTATGATTATGATAAATGTTCTATATAATCATAAAACATTACATTCATACACACATGAACCTTCACCGTCAGTATATCACTTTCATATTTTAATTCGGCTCGTACGTACACCATTAACAAAAGGGTAACGGGCTAGAAAAAGGGACGATATCTTTGCGGCAAAGGTAAATGGAAAAACAATTTCTGAATATGTATATATATTGCTATATTTCTGAATATGTATATATATTGCTATATTTCTGAATATGTATATATATTGCTATATTTCTGAATATGTATATATATTGCTATATTTCTGAATATGTATATATATTGCTATATTTCTGAATATGTATATATATTGCTATATTTCTGAATATGTATATATATTGCTATATTTCTGAATATGTATATATATTGCTATATTTCTGAATATGTATATATATTGCTATATTTCTGAATATGTATATATATTGCTATATTTCTGAATATGTATATATATTGCTATATTTCTGAATATGTATATATATTGCTATATTTCTGAATATGTATATATATTGCTATATTTCTGAATATGTATATATATTGCTATATTTCTGAATATGTATATATATTGCTATATTTCTGAATATGTATATATATTGCTATATTTCTGAATATGTATATATATTGCTATATTTCTGAATATGTATATATATTGCTATATTTCTGAATATGTATATATATTGCTATATTTCTGAATATGTATATATATTGCTATATTTCTGAATATGTATATATATTGCTATATTTCTGAATATGTATATATATTGCTATATTTCTGAATATGTATATATATTGCTATATTTCTGAATATGTATATATATTGCTATATTTCTGAATATGTATATATATTGCTATATTTCTGAATATGTATATATATTGCTATATTTCTGAATATGTATATATATTGCTATATTTCTGAATATGTATATATATTGCTATATTTCTGAATATGTATATATATTGCTATATTTCTGAATATGTATATATATTGCTATATTTCTGAATATGTATATATATTGCTATATTTCTGAATATGTATATATATTGCTATATTTCTGAATATGTATATATATTGCTATATTTCTGAATATGTATATATATTGCTATATTTCTGAATATGTATATATATTGCTATATTTCTGAATATGTATATATATTGCTATATTTCTGAATATGTATATATATTGCTATATTTCTGAATATGTATATATATTGCTATATTTCTGAATATGTATATATATTGCTATATTTCTGAATATGTATATATATTGCTATATTTCTGAATATGTATATATATTGCTATATTTCTGAATATGTATATATATTGCTATATTTCTGAATATGTATATATATTGCTATATTTCTGAATATGTATATATATTGCTATATTTCTGAATATGTATATATATTGCTATATTTCTGAATATGTATATATATTGCTATATTTCTGAATATGTATATATATTGCTATATTTCTGAATATGTATATATATTGCTATATTTCTGAATATGTATATATATTGCTATATTTCTGAATATGTATATATATTGCTATATTTCTGAATATGTATATATATTGCTATATTTCTGAATATGTATATATATTGCTATATTTCTGAATATGTATATATATTGCTATATTTCTGAATATGTATATATATTGCTATATTTCTGAATATGTATATATATTGCTATATTTCTGAATATGTATATATATTGCTATATTTCTGAATATGTATATATATTGCTATATTTCTGAATATGTATATATATTGCTATATTTCTGAATATGTATATATATTGCTATATTTCTGAATATGTATATATATTGCTATATTTCTGAATATGTATATATATTGCTATATTTCTGAATATGTATATATATTGCTATATTTCTGAATATGTATATATATTGCTATATTTCTGAATATGTATATATATTGCTATATTTCTGAATATGTATATATATTGCTATATTTCTGAATATGTATATATATTGCTATATTTCTGAATATGTATATATATTGCTATATTTCTGAATATGTATATATATTGCTATATTTCTGAATATGTATATATATTGCTATATTTCTGAATATGTATATATATTGCTATATTTCTGAATATGTATATATATTGCTATATTTCTGAATATGTATATATATTGCTATATTTCTGAATATGTATATATATTGCTATATTTCTGAATATGTATATATATTGCTATATTTCTGAATATGTATATATATTGCTATATTTCTGAATATGTATATATATTGCTATATTTCTGAATATGTATATATATTGCTATATTTCTGAATATGTATATATATTGCTATATTTCTGAATATGTATTATATATATGTATAAATACATTCAGACAAAATACTACTTATATATATATCCAGACAAAATACTATTTTTATATATATCCAGACAAAATACTATTTTTATATATATCCAGACAAAATACTATTTTTATATATATCCAGATAAAATACTATTTTTATATATATCCAGACAAAATACTATTTTTATATATATCCAGACAAAATACTATTTTTATATATATCCAGACAAAATACTACTTATATATATCCAGACAAAATACTATTTTTATATATATCCAGACAAAATACTATTTTTATATATATCCAGACAAAATACTATTTTTATATATATCCAGACAAAATACTATTTTTATATATATCCAGATAAAATACTATATATATGTGTAGACGCAATTTTCCTTTCATTCCGATACAGACACCGCGATCTTTACCTTGATGTTAATCATAACCACTTTCTTCCTCGGTCTCGTCTCCTTCTAGCGTCGATTACGCAGTACACGGTTGACGAAAAATTTCATGGAACGTTGACCACATGCAAAAGATTCCAAGCTTCTTTCTCTGTCTCCCGTGACCATTATTCTTTTCTGTTGACAAAAATAAAATACAATACTATATATCTATTCGTAATACATTAATAATTTTCAAGTGAGGGAATGTTATTACCTTCAGTATCATCTTCAGTATTTCAGAGACCTGAGTTAGGCTGGAAAGTAACGGCCACTAGGGTAAGGACAACAACAGCAAAGGTTGCGATGTCTGGACTGGCAGGAAGGGAGGGGTGTCCTTTGTGTATGTATATATGTATATGCATAATGGCATCCGTGGAATAAATATGACCATGCTTCTACTTGATGCTATGGTATGATCCAGTCTTCTTGGGCTGCTCCTCCCCCTTTAGGCAACATTGTGTAAATACCAGCCCCAGTTTTAATTGAGACAAATTTCTGCTGATAGTCAAAAAAAAAAAAAAAAAAAAAAAAAAAAAAAAAAAAAAATGCCGGAGGCGGTGTGTAAATGTCAATTCTATATACGATATAACCCGGCGCCTGGGCCCTTCTCGGCAAAACGTCTTTAGACGTCGCCTGGAAGGTTAAGAATTCCACCGTCAATTTGTGTTAATGTGTAAAAATATCCATCGTAATCATATAGACGAATTGCATTGACAATATCATTTCTTTTCATGTTAACAATTAAGACAAGCGCATAGTAATATAATTTCAGTTTAATAAATATCATTAAAATATATCTAAAAGAAGCTCGTTTATGCGTAGGCTGGGCTGGTCTCGTAGGTAGGAGCAGGCTCGTAGGTTGGGGCGGGCTTCTAGGCAGGTGCAGGCTGTTACGCAGGAGCAGGCTTATAAGCAGGAGCAGGTTTGTAGGCAGGCTTGTGCTCAGGGTACTGGGCTTCCCCCTCGTAGCTGACCTTGGCTACGAAACCGGAGTCGCCGTTGACAGTGTAGGCGACCCTCTGCAGACGACTGTCGGGAAGGAGGACGTAGTAAGAACCCTGAGTATCATAACCGTCGCGAGCTTCCTGGTGACCGAAGTCATTTCCGGAATAGTCGTCCTTCACTGCATAGTTGAAATCGTACTTGGCAGGGACCTGGAAAAGTTGCACAAAATTAGCATCTAGCATACGAAATAACCGATCATAATATATCAGTAATTGACATTTGTAGTAATATAATTACAAATTCAAGCTTTCAAAATTGTGCAAACCTCGTAGGTAGGCTGAGGAGCATAACCGTAAGCTGGCTGAGAAGGAGCAGAGGCAGCAACGGCCACGAGAGCGAGGGCAACGACAGCCCAGAAAATAAAGTATATTTATTCCTTTCCTGCATATGTGCATTAACATGACGCAATTATGCTGAATACGGCACTGTTGTTTCGTACTAAAAGATATCTCTTATCATAAATCTAAATTTGCTAGACTGATACTACTTCTCACCTTAGTGAACATGATGGAGGTAGATGACGTGTGGTAATCATTTTGTATCTAATACTTATGATTTTCATCTCATTTCAGCTGTTGTGTATTGATTCGTGGCAAGAACTGGAAATATAAACTCCATTTTTAGATATATGGATGTGTATGTGCACACACACACACACACACACACACACACACAATCACACACACACACACACACACATACATACCGACTCGCACGCTAACATACATATATACAGACATGCACGCTGCATATGCATATATGAATAAGAAGTGCTTCATATACAACTTAAAAAAAATGTAAATAATTTTGTAGTGCGTATTTATGTGTCCGTGTATCCATATTAATTAAGCTTAATTCACACGTTATCATTCACTCTTTTACACGTCTGTACGCCTTCCTTGGGTAAACATTTATTCATCACACTGCTGTCATTCGTATTCCGTACAGATTTTGTTCGTTCATATACGTCTGGAAGAAATCTCGGACGAACGAAACGTATTAATGCGTTCCGTACCTCAACTGGATCGTCTGAACACCGATACGGTTTAGGTATGGGTGACTAATTCAACTGATCATAGGTTATGAAGAGTTGTATGATAACGGAAATAGAGAATATACGTGAAAGAGGAACGTCTCATTTTTATTATCAATCTAATATACAACACTTTACAAACCTCATAAGTAGGCTGAGGAGCGTAGCCGTAAGCTGGCTGAGAAAGAGCAGAAGCAGCAACGGCCACGAGGGCGAGGGCAACGTCTGGAGAATTGAAAAAATGGGGAAAAATTAATCTTTATCACTTATTATGTATTGCTAATATTACATAATTATCATTTACATTATCATTATTACAAAATCTATAATAATGGTATGTACTGTTATTATGATTACTGTTATTATTGTTGTTGCTGTTGTTATTATCATTATCATCATAATCACTATTTATAATATCATTATCGTAATGTGATTCCCAGTATCACATTGTTATTCAAAAGCAACGGATCTGCTACGAGCGTGTGAACACGTGGAATTATACTCGGAAGCCAGCGAACCATAACTGAAGACGAATGATATCTTAATTCAGAGAACGGTTGCGGAAAATGCTGCATTTAAGAGAGAGAGAGAGAGAGAGAGAGAGAGAGAGAGAGAGGGAGGGAGAGAGAGAGAGGAGGGAGAGAGAGAGAGAGAGAGAGAGAGAGAGAGAGAGAGAGAATCATATTAATACTTCTAGTAGGTTTCTAGGGTTGTTCTTAAGCAGGGGTGTCAAACTCATCGGCCGCGGGCCATATGTTGCCCTCGGGATGGTCATAAATGGCCCGCGGGGTGAGTGTGAATTTATGATTACGAAGGAATGTATGCTTAAATATTGAAATTGTACAATAAACTGCATCAGCACATGACTACACATACATACATACTCTGTTACCCATTAATATCACCATCTAAAATCTATAAAAAAAAACCCTGCCCTTGAATGGTTTTGAGACCTAATGAGTGTCTGAGAAAAGGACATTTGTTTCATCTTCCTACTTTGCCTTAAGCGCTGAAGGTGGTCGGATTAGCACCTTCAATGCGGCGGTCGCGGTGTTCGGACCGGAAGGAAGGGAAACGCGTGTTTTTTAGGAATGTGGTTCGATACTTAATTTCTAAATTCCAGCATTACCATAATGCTTGTTGCAACAACACTGTACCATGTATATTTACTGTAAATAATACTATACTATATATACTCTATATGATATCTTATCCATATATATATATATATATATATATGCTGTATACACACACACACACACACATATATATATATGGATATATACACATACGCACATCTATGTGCATATGTATATATGTTTATGTACATTATATATATATATACACATATATATATGTGGGTGTGTGTGCATGTGCGTAAACATAAATATATATACACACACTCGTATATATGCAGCCTACGCTTAAATGAACTAAAATTGAATATATATTTTAAAATATTTATTAAAACTGAAAGTCTAGTAACACTGTTTTATGACCTTGTTAATTTGAAGAGCAATGTTATTGTTAACACAGTATTGGAAATGTCTATGATACCTGTAAGTATTTTTTACGTAGTACCATATATATGTATCCAGAATTTTTAACCATATATAAGTAATAGTTTTGGGAGCATTTAAAAATCAATATTTGACATAATTTAAACGCAGGCGAACACACATGAAAATCAGAACGGCTAATGTCAACTGTTCCACTAGACGTTTGTTTTACTTCCGTAATAGAAAGCGGGAGTGGTTTGCACGCAATGTTGCCTTGTGGGGGATAGCCGAAGAAGACTAGTTTATAACATACCAATAATCACGTAGAAACACTGCCCCACCTAACCATAGTTTCCATTATGCAAATACATATATGCACGAACATATAAAGCATGTTTTCCCTTCCTTGTAGTCCAGACACCGCAACCTTCGCTACGTTGCCCTCTTCCTTGTGGCTGTCGCTGTGTCTGCTCCTTCCCATGCTGTTTTTGGCTATGTCTTTCATCTTACCTCAAGTGTGTAGTATATTGAAACAGTGGTAATAAAATTACTATATGTAGGTGGTCGGAGTTCTAAGATTTTTTCCCCCTTAAACCACATGCTGCGCAGTCAACGACATAAAAAGAGGAAACCGAGGGAGATGGCTCAAGGCAAAGGTCACGGCGTCTGCCCCAGAAGAGAAAAATCGTTTAATCATAAATGAATATATTCATAAGTCTGACTATGCGTTTATTTATGTATCCCATGATTAGAAGCACTCCAAGCAAACGTGTTGAATTTTAAAACTAACGTTTAGGATGCAAAGGTAAGTTCATGTATGTCTGTGTCTGTACATATTGTTTTAGTTATACAGTCTTTATAAATTCCCAGTATTATCACTGAGATGTCGAGTACTGTTTAGAGTATTAACATTTCTGTTAATAAGTGTTACAAGATTTTCAGTTTAATAATTTTCAACGGAAAATATAGTCAACAGATTTCATTTAAGCATAGGCGGGTGTGGTCTCGTAAATTGGGGTAGGCGTGTAGAAGGCTTATACTCGAGATACTAGGCCTCACCCTCCTAGTTGACCTCGGCCACGTATCCTGTCGCTGTTGACACTGTAGGCAACCGTCGGGAAGAACACTATAGGAACATCGTGTCGTAGCCATCAGGGGCCTCCTGGTGACCGAAGTCGTTGCCACATTAGTCTTCCTTCACGGCGTAGGTGATGTACTAAGCAGCGATCTGGTAAGCATGCACGAGATTATAGTAACGCAATGCCGGATTTCTCGTCATAATATATCACATATTTTACAAATGTAGTTTAAGTATCGCTATCATCATATTCAATTTCCAAAATGTTACATAGCTCGTAGGTAGGCTGAGGAGCATAGCCATAAGCTGGTTGAGAATGAGTAGAGGCAGCTGCGGCCGCAAGGGTGAGGGTAACGACAGTCCAGAAGGAAGCAATATATTGTTTTGAGTTCATTTCCTTTATATGCATAATTCCATGACAGTTGTAGTTTTTATTGAAGCTTTCCCTTGTCATAAATCTGCTTGATTGATAAAACTGTTATCATAGTGAACGCGATGAGTTGATTGATGACTATGGTCATCTATCAACTCCCTTTTATTATAGTCAAGCCCCATTTGTTTCCTTTAATTCTGCCAGCCATCTCCCTTTCAGTAAATGACCTTATAGTCCCAAGAGTGAATAGTAGTAAAATGTAGGCACTATCCATATAATCAGTTGATTTTCGGAAAATGCAGATTTTTCAGAATTCAAAATAATACAATTGACGTTACTATACAAAATGATTAAACATTGGATATATACGGTCTTTGTTATTTGTGTAGCAATATAACATCTAATCATAAATTCAGTTCAGATCGTATTAGAAAAAACAACATTGAATAGATAGCTTCAGAATAATCTTCACTACTTAATTAATGTACCGATTTGCAGACCTATATATGTATATATATAGGAATTATCCTTTTAAGTTATATACGAGTAGCGATGGTTAATCCATGTCTTCCACGGTCTTTGTTTCTAAGAACAATATTTTCCATTACTACGAGTCCAATCTCTAGTCCTATTACGAATGCAATATCCGGTCCTATTTATCGTATCAGAACTCCGTGTGGACTTCTAATACACTTTGTTTTGATATGGGGAAAGGACAAATGGTACTAGAATTTCAGTTTAATAAATATCTATAAACACATTTTGATCGAAGTTCATTTAGGCGTAGGCAGGGGTGGTCTCATAGGTCGGGGCAGGTTCGTATGCAGGGGCTGGCTTGTAGGCAGGTGCGGGATGGTAAGAAGGAGCAGGCTTGTAGGCAGGTGCAGGATGGTAAGGAGCAGGCTTGTACTCGGGGTACTGGGCCTCACCCTCGTAGCTGACCTCAGCCACATAGCCGGAGTCGCCGTTGACAGTGTAAGCGACCTTCTGCAGACGACCGTCGGGAAGAAGAACGTAGTAGGAACCCTGAGTGTCATAGCCATCACGGGCCTCCTGGTGACCGAAGTCGTTGCCGGAGTAGTCGTCCTTCACTGCATAGTTGAAGTCGTACTTGGCAGGGACCTGAAAAGGTTACACTAAATTAGAATCATACAATACCAGATTTTCGGTCATAATATATCAATCCTTTACGAATTCAGTGATGCTCTTCATATTGCCAGTTATATAAAAAAGGAAGAAATACAAACCTCATACGTAGGCTGAGGAGCATAGCCATAGGCTGGCAGAGAAGGAGCAGCAGCAGCAACAGCCACGAGGGCAAGGGCAACAACAGCCTAGAAGAGATGCAATAAATCTTATTACAAGTTCCTTTCTTTTTATGCAGATTAACATAACACAAGGTACATTGACATGGGATATAAAAAACTTTTGTTTCACACTGAAGCTATCTTGATATGACTGATAATTGTTACCTTAGTGAACATGATGAAGGTACAGGAAGAGTGATGCTCCAGTCATCAAGTGCGTCCCTTTTATACCGAAGTCCACGAGTCCAGCAGACACGCCCCTTTCGTTCCTTCCTTCCGTGCGACCTTTACCTTGAATTACATCCATCATCTTCCTTTCCATTAATGAACATTCTTCGATATCTGTAAATAAATTGGCGCTATGAATTATCAGCTGATTCGCTGCAAGTGTTGAAACACACACGCAAAATGAATAGATAATATATATGTATATGAATGTATGAATGTATATATATATATTGGAAAATGAAATGAAAATTTATTATTGAATTTTAAATTTGTATATTTTTTCCTGGCCCTTACCTCATAAAACACAATCCCGTGATTTATGAGAGAGAAGCATGGAATCATTTGCAAGTGGTCGGAGGTCTAAGATTTCCCCCCCCTTAAACCACATGCTACGCAATCAACGATATGAAAATAGGAAACCGAGGGAGATGGCTTTGTTTAACAGTCTCAAGGCAAAGGTCACGGCGTCTGCCCCAGAAGAGAAAAATCGTTTAATATATGAATATATTCATAAAAATGTCTATGCGTTTATCTATGTATTCTATGATTAGAAGCACTCCAAGCAAATGTGTTACTGTCAGTAAGAAGTCCCGCAAGCAGATAAACAAGATCCTCACAATATAATGTTTATGCATACTTATGTGAAAATATGTGCCTTTTGTTACATTAATATATATAAGCTTGTTTTACTTTGCAATTGTAGATAATTTTCTACTTCGTTGTTTTTCCTCGTTTGCATTTGTGGTAACATAATAGCATGTGCGAACCCTGTTTAAACAAATTTTAACTTTGAATTTTAAAACTAACGTTTAGGAGGCAAAGGTAAGTTCATGTATGTCTGTCTGTACATATCGTTTTAGTTATACAGTACTTTATAAATTCCCAGTGTTATCACTGAGATGTCGAGTATTGTTTAGACGTGTTAACAAGTGTTACAAGATTTTCAGTTTAATGATTTTCAACGTAAAATATAGTCAACAGATTTCATTTGAGCGTAGGCGGATGTGGTCTCGTAAATAGGGGCAGGCGTGTAGAAGGCTTATACTCGAGATACTAGGCCTCACCCTCCTAGTTGACCTCGGCCACGTATCCTGTCGCTGTTGACACTGTAGGCAACCATCAGGAAGAACATATTTTACAAATATAGTTTAAGCACCGCTATCATCAGATTCAATTTCCAAAATGTTACATACCTCGTAGGTAGGTTGAGGAGCATAGCCATAAGCTGGTTGAGAATGAGTAGAGGCAGCTGCGGCCGCGAGGGTGAGGGTAATGACAGTCTAGAAGGAAGCAATATACTGTGTTGTGTTCCTTTACTTTATATGCATAATTACATGACAGTTATAGTTTTTATTGAAGCTTTCCCTTATCATAAATCTGCTTGATTGATAATACTGTTATCATAGTGAACAAGATGAATGTTGATTGATGACTCTGGTCATCAATCAACTCCCTTTTATCATAGTCACGCGCCATTTGTTACCTTTAATTCTATCAATCATCTCTTTCAGTAAAAGACCTTATAGTCCTAAGAGAGAATAGCAGTAAAATATAGGCACTATTTATATAATCAGTTGGTTTCCGGAAAATACAGATTTTTCAGAATTCAAGATAATACAATTGACGTTACAATACAAATGATTAAACATTGGATATATACGGTATTTGTTATTTGTGTAACAATATAACATCTAATCATAAATTCAGTTTAGATCGTATTAGAAAAAACAAAACAAAAAACATTGAATTGGAAGCTTCAGAATAATCTTCAGACTTAATTGATGTATCGATTTACAGACCTATATATGTATATATATGTAGGTGTACATATATACATGCATATACATATGTATGTATATATATGTATGTATGTGTGTTTGTGCGCGCGCGCGCGCGTGCGTGTGTGTGTGTGTGTGTGTGTGTACGCGTGTGCTGTATCAGTTTGATTACTTTGAGTTTATACTACTTTGGGACTTTCAGAATATGTAAAGGAAAACACGTATCTATGGATGTCCGCTAAAATCGAGAGAACCGAAGAAATATGTAGGCCACTTATAGTGCGGCATCGAAAGGCGCGGTTTTAGGAAGAGGAAAAATCAGCTTGGTTATTCCGCTGCGGTCGCTACTGTGATGATAAGTGACCGGGCAAGGTAATCGGATAAAAATTTTGAAGACGAAGGTGGACCGGATGTATGAGAAAAACATGTATGTATATACGTATGTACACGTAGATATATCTGCATGTGCATAATGTACATATCCGCCGCTGTAAGTCAATAGGACCGCCCTTCCACTTGGTAAATTATAATATTAGGTATTATCATTCTAAATTATATACGGGTGGCGATGGTTAATCCATGTCTGTTAGAGTCCTTGTTTCTAAGAACAATATTTTCCATTACTACGAGTCCAATCTCTAGGCCTATTACTAATGCAATATCCGGTCCTTTTTTATCGTATCCGAATTCCGTGTGGACTTCTAATACACTTTGTTTTGATATGGGGAAAGGACAAATGGTACTAGAATTTCAGTTTAATAAATATCTATAAACACATTTTGATCGAAGTTCATTTAGGCGTAGGCTGGAGTGGTCTCATAGGTAGGGGCAGGTTCGTATGCAGGGGCTGGCTTGTAGGCAGGTGCGGGATGGTAAGAAGGAGCAGGCTTGTAGGCAGGTGCAGGATGGTAAGGAGCAGGCTTGTACTCGGGGTACTGGGCCTCACCCTCGTAGCTGACCTCAGCCACATAGCCGGAGTCGCCGTTGACAGTGTAAGCAACCTTCTGCAGACGACCGTCAGGAAGAAGAACGTAGTAGGAACCCTGAGTGTCATAGCCATCACGGGCCTCCTGGTGACCGAAGTCGTTGCCGGAGTAGTCATCCTTCACTGCATAGTTGAAGTCGTACTTGGCAGGGACCTGGAAAGGTTACACAAAATTAGAATCATACAATACCAGATTTTCGGTCATAATATATCAATCCTTTACGAATTCAGTGATACTCTTCACATTGCCAATTCTAAAAAAGAAATACAAACCTCATAGGTTGGCTGAGGAGCATAGCCATAGGCTGGCAGAGAAGGAGCAGCAGCAGCAACAGCCACGAGGGCAAGGGCAACAACAGCCTAGAAGAGATGCAATAAATCTTATTATAAGTTCTTTCTTTTTATGCAGATTAACTTAACACAAGGCACATTGACATGGGATATAAAAAAACTATTGTTTCACACTGAAGCTCTCTTCATATGACTGATAATTGTTACCTTAGTGAACATGATGAAGGTAGACGAGGAGTGATGCTCCGGTCATCAAGCGCGTCCCTTTTATACCGTAGTCCACGAGTCCAGCAGACACGCCCCCTTCCTTCCTGCCTTCCTTCCGTGCGACCTTTACCTTGAATTACATCCATCATCTTCCTTTCCATTAATGAGCATTCTTCTATATCTGAAAAGAAATTGGCGCCATAAATTATCAGCTGATTCGCTGCAAGTGTTGAAACACACACAAACTGAATAGATAATATATATACATATGATATGAATGTATGAATGTATATATATATATTGCAAAATTTATTTTACAAAATAAAATGACGTTGAAAGTACGAGGTCGATCAAATTATTCTTGATTTGGATGTGATATGTACATTAGAAATTTATAATAAAATCTCACTTATTTTAGTGGCTATGATATATATCATGATATACATATACATGCATATACATACATACTTATATATACATATATATACATATACATATCTATATACATATATATATATATAATATATAAACACATGTATTTTTGTATATGTATGTACAGACATACAAACATTCCACCAACAATATCCTCCAGCGCAGAATGGCCACTTATAGAAAGGAACAAGATGGATATAATTCAAGGTAAAGGTCGCAGGAAGGAAGGAAGGAAAGGGCGTGTCTACTGGACTTGTGGACTACGGTATAAAATGGACTCGCTAGGTGGCCGGAGCATCACACTTCTACCTCCATCATGTTCACTAAGGTAAGAAATATGAATCTGGTAAATTGATGTTTATAATAAGAGATATCTTCCAGTACAAAACATGTGCATATAAAGAAAAGGAACTAAAGTGATAGGATACTTTATTCTAGGCTATCGTTGCCCTCGCCCTCGTGGCCGTTGCAGCTTCTGCTCCTTCTCAGCCAGCTTACGGCTATGCTTCTCAGCCTGCCTACGAGGTTTGTAAAATTCTGGGTATTTGAATTGGTAATGACAGTGATATTACTACATTTGTAAAGTACTGATATATTATGACAGGATATTTAGTATGGTATGATTTTTAATTTTGTGCAACTTTTCCAGGTCCCTGCCAAGTACGACTTCAACTATGCCGTGAAGGATGACTACTCCGGAAATGACTTCGGTCACCAGGAGGCTCGCGACGGTTACGATACTCAGGGTTCATACTATGTTCTCCTTCCCGACGGTCGTCTGCAGAAGGTCGCCTACACTGTCAACGGCGACTCCGGTTTCGTAGCCGAGGTCAGCTACGAGGGCGAAGCCCAGTACCCCGAGTACAAGCCTGCGCCTGCTTACAAGCCTGCTCCTGCCTATAAGCCTGCTCCTGCTTACCATCCCGCACCTGCCTACAAGCCCGCCCCTACCTACAAGCCCGCCCCTACCTACAAACCTGCTCCTACATACGAGACCACCCCAGCCTACGCTTAAACGAACTTAAATTGAATATATATTTAAAAAAAATATATTTATTAAAACTGAGAGTCTAGTAACACTGTTTTATGACCTTGTTAATTTGAAGATAAATGTTACTGTTCACACAATATTGGACATGTCTATGATACCTTTAGGTATTTTTTACGTAGCACCATATATGTATATGCGGAATTTCTAACCATATATAAGTATTGGTTTTAGGAGCATTTAAAAATCAATATTTGGTATCATTTAAACGCAGGTGAACACACCTCCGATTCCGGCATGAAAATCAGAATGGCTAATGTCAACTGTTCCACTAGACATTTGTTTAACTTCCGTAATAGAAACCGGGAGTGGTTTGCACGCAATGTTGCCTTGTGGGGAAGAGCCCAAGAAGACTAGTTTTTAACATGCAAGTAATCACTTAAAAGCACTGCCCCACTTAACCATAGTTGCCATTATGCATATACATATATAAACGAACATATAAAGCGTGATTTTCCCTTCCTTGCAGTTCAGATATCGCAACATTCGCTACGTTGCCCTCTTCCTTGTGGCTGTCGCTGTGTCTGCTCCTTTCCATGCTGTTTTTGGCTGTCTTTCAGCTTATCTCAAGTGTATAGTATATTGAAACGGTGGTAATAAAATTACTATATATATAAGTTATGGATGTATTACGAATGAGAATTTATTATTGCATTTTAAATTTGTATATTTTTTCCTGGCCCTTACCTCAAAAAACACAATCCCGTGATTTATGAGAGAGAGAAGCATGGAATCATTTGCAGGTGGTCGGAGTTCTAAGATTTTTTTTCCCTTAAAACATACTACGCAGTCAACGATATGAAAATAGGAAACCGAGGGAGATGGCTTTGTTTAACATTCTCAAGGCAAAGGTCACGGCGTCTGCCCCAGAAGAGAAAAATCGTTTAATATATGAATATATTCATAAAAATGGCTATGCGTTTATCTATGTATCCTATGATTAGAAGCACTCCAAGCAAATGTGTTACTGTCAGTAAGAAGTCCCGCAAGCAGATAAACAAGATCCTCACAATATAATGTTTATGCATACTTATGTGAAAATATGTGCCTTTTGTTACATTAATATATATAAGCTTGTTTTACTTTGCAATTGTAGATAATTTTCTACTTCGTTGTTTTTCCTCGTTTGCATTTGTGGTAACATAATAGCATGTGCGAACCCTGTTTAAACAAATTTTAACTTTGAATTTTAAAACTAACGTTTAGGAGGCAAAGGTAAGTTCATGTATGTCTGTCTGTACATATCGTTTTAGTTATACAGTACTTTATAAATTCCCAGTGTTATCACTGAGATGTCGAGTATTGTTTAGACGTGTTAACAAGTGTTACAAGATTTTCAGTTTAATGATTTTCAACGTAAAATATAGTCAACAGATTTCATTTGAGCGTAGGCGGATGTGGTCTCGTAAATAGGGGCAGGCGTGTAGAAGGCTTATACTCGAGATACTAGGCCTCACCCTCCTAGTTGACCTCGGCCACGTATCCTGTCGCTGTTGACACTGTAGGCAACCATCAGGAAGAACATATTTTACAAATATAGTTTAAGCACCGCTATCATCAGATTCAATTTCCAAAATGTTACATACCTCGTAGGTAGGTTGAGGAGCATAGCCATAAGCTGGTTGAGAATGAGTAGAGGCAGCTGCGGCCGCGAGGGTGAGGGTAATGACAGTCTAGAAGGAAGCAATATACTGTGTTGTGTTCCTTTACTTTATATGCATAATTACATGACAGTTATAGTTTTTATTGAAGCTTTCCCTTATCATAAATCTGCTTGATTGATAATACTGTTATCATAGTGAACAAGATGAATGTTGATTGATGACTCTGGTCATCAATCAACTCCCTTTTATCATAGTCACGCGCCATTTGTTACCTTTAATTCTATCAATCATCTCTTTCAGTAAAAGACCTTATAGTCCTAAGAGAGAATAGCAGTAAAATATAGGCACTATTTATATAATCAGTTGGTTTCCGGAAAATACAGATTTTTCAGAATTCAAGATAATACAATTGACGTTACAATACAAATGATTAAACATTGGATATATACGGTATTTGTTATTTGTGTAACAATATAACATCTAATCATAAATTCAGTTTAGATCGTATTAGAAAAAACAAAACAAAAAACATTGAATTGGAAGCTTCAGAATAATCTTCAGACTTAATTGATGTATCGATTTACAGACCTATATATGTATATATATGTAGGTGTACATATATACATGCATATACATATGTATGTATATATATGTATGTATGTGTGTTTGTGCGCGCGCGCGCGCGTGCGTGTGTGTGTGTGTGTGTGTGTGTACGCGTGTGCTGTATCAGTTTGATTACTTTGAGTTTATACTACTTTGGGACTTTCAGAATATGTAAAGGAAAACACGTATCTATGGATGTCCGCTAAAATCGAGAGAACCGAAGAAATATGTAGGCCACTTATAGTGCGGCATCGAAAGGCGCGGTTTTAGGAAGAGGAAAAATCAGCTTGGTTATTCCGCTGCGGTCGCTACTGTGATGATAAGTGTCCGGGCAAGGTAATCGGATAAAAATTTTGAAGACGAAGGTGGACCGGATGTATGAGAAAAACATGTATGTATATACGTATGTACACGTAGATATATCTGCATGTGCATAATGTACATATCCGCCGCTGTAAGTCAATAGGACCGCCCTTCCACTTGGTAAATTATAATATTAGGTATTATCATTCTAAATTATATACGGGTGGCGATGGTTAATCCATGTCTGTTAGAGTCCTTGTTTCTAAGAACAATATTTTCCATTACTACGAGTCCAATCTCTAGGCCTATTACTAATGCAATATCCGGTCCTTTTTTATCGTATCCGAATTCCGTGTGGACTTCTAATACACTTTGTTTTGATATGGGGAAAGGACAAATGGTACTAGAATTTCAGTTTAATAAATATCTATAAACACATTTTGATCGAAGTTCATTTAGGCGTAGGCTGGAGTGGTCTCATAGGTAGGGGCAGGTTCGTATGCAGGGGCAGGCTTGTAGGCAGGTGCGGGATGGTAAGAAGGAGCAGGCTTGTAGGCAGGTGCAGGATGGTAAGGAGCAGGCTTGTACTCGGGGTACTGGGCCTCACCCTCGTAGCTGACCTCAGCCACATAGCCGGAGTCGCCGTTGACAGTGTAAGCAACCTTCTGCAGACGACCGTCAGGAAGAAGAACGTAGTAGGAACCCTGAGTGTCATAGCCATCACGGGCCTCCTGGTGACCGAAGTCGTTGCCGGAGTAGTCATCCTTCACTGCATAGTTGAAGTCGTACTTGGCAGGGACCTGGAAAGGTTACACAAATTTAGAATCATACAGTACCAGATTTTCGGTCAAAATATATCAATCCTTTACGAATTCAGTGATACTCTTCACATTGCCAATTCTAAAAAAGAAATACAAACCTCATAGGTTGGCTGAGGAGCATAGCCATAGGCTGGCAGAGAAGGAGCAGCAGCAGCAACAGCCACGAGGGCAAGGGCAACAACAGCCTAGAAGAGATGCAATAAATCTTATTATAAGTTCTTTCTTTTTATGCAGATTAACTTAACACAAGGCACATTGACATGGGATATAAAAAAACTATTGTTTCACACTGAAGCTCTCTTCATATGACTGATAATTGTTACCTTAGTGAACATGATGAAGGTAGACGAGGAGTGATGCTCCGGTCATCAAGCGCGTCCCTTTTATACCGTAGTCCACGAGTCCAGCAGACACGCCCCCTTCCTTCCTGCCTTCCTTCCGTGCGACCTTTACCTTGAATTACATCCATCATCTTCCTTTCCATTAATGAGCATTCTTCTATATCTGAAAAGAAATTGGCGCCATAAATTATCAGCTGATTCGCTGCAAGTGTTGAAACACACACAAACTAAATAGATAATATATATACATATGATATGAATGTATGAATGTATATATATATTGCAAAATTTATTTTACAAAATAAAATGACGTTGAAAGTACGAGGTCGATCAAATTATTCTTGATTTGGATGTGATATGTACATTAGAAATTTATAATAAAATCTCACTTATTTTAGTGGCTATGATATATATCATGATATACATATACATGCATATACATACATACTTATATATACATATATATACATATACATATCTATATACATATATATATATAATATATAAACACATGTATTTTTGTATATGTATGTACAGACATACAAACATTCCACCAACAATATCCTCCAGCGCAGAATGGCCACTTATAGAAAGGAACAAGATGGATATAATTCAAGGTAAAGGTCGCAGGAAGGAAGGAAGGAAAGGGCGTGTCTACTGGACTTGTGGACTACGGTATAAAATGGACTCGCTAGGTGGCCGGAGCATCACACTTCTACCTCCATCATGTTCACTAAGGTAAGAAATATGAATCTGGTAAATTGATATTTATAATAAGAGATATCTTCCAGTACAAAACATGTGCATATAAAGAAAAGGAACTAATGTGATAGGATACTTTATTCTAGGCTGTCGTTGCCCTCGCCCTCGTGGCCGTTGCAGCTTCTGCTCCTTCTCAGCCAGCTTACGGCTATGCTTCTCAGCCTGCCTACGAGGTTTGTAAAATTCTGGGTATTTGAATTGGTAATGACAGTGATATTACTACATTTGTAAAGTACTGATATATTATGACATGATATTTAGTATGGTATGATTTTTAATTTTGTGCAACTTTTCCAGGTCCCTGCCAAGTACGACTTCAACTATGCCGTGAAGGATGACTACTCCGGAAATGACTTCGGTCACCAGGAGGCTCGCGACGGTTACGATACTCAGGGTTCATACTATGTTCTCCTTCCCGACGGTCGTCTGCAGAAGGTCGCCTACACTGTCAACGGCGACTCCGGTTTCGTAGCCGAGGTCAGCTACGAGGGCGAAGCCCAGTACCCCGAGTACAAGCCTGCGCCTGCTTACAAGCCTGCTCCTGCCTATGAGCCTGCTCCTGCTTACCATCCCGCACCTGCCTACAAGCCCGCCCCTACCTACAAGCCCGCCCCTACCTACGAACCTGCTCCTACCTACGAGACCACCCCAGCCTACGCTTAAACGAACTTGAATTGAATATATATTTAAAAAAAATATATTTATTAAAACTGAAAGTCTAGTAACACTGTTTTATGACCTTGTTAATTTGAAGATAAATGTTACTGTTCACACAATATTGGACATGTCTATGATACCTTTAGGTATTTTTTATGTAGCACCATATATGTAAATGCGGAATTTCTAACCATATATAAGTAATGATTTTAGGAGCATTTAAAAATCAATATTTGGTATCATTTAAACGCAGGTGAACACACCTCCGATTCCGGCATGAAAATCAGAATGGCTAATGTCAACTGTTCCACTAGACATTTGTTTTACTTCCGTAATAGAAACCGGGAGTGGTTTGCACGCAATGTTGCCTTGTGGGGAAGAGCCCAAGAAGACTAGTTTTTAACATGCAAATGATCACGTAGAAGCAGTGCCCCACCTAACCATAGTTGCCATTATGCATATACATATATAAACGAACATATAAAGCGTGATTTTCCCTTCCTTACAGTTCAGATATCGCAACATTCGCTACGTTGCCTTCTTCCTTGTGGCTGTCGCTGTGTCTGCTCCTTCCCATGCTGTTTTTGGCTGTCTTTCAGCTTATCTCAGGTGTGTAGTATATTGAAACGGTGGTAATAAAATTACTATAAGTATAAGTTATGGATGTATTACGAATGAAAATTTATTATTGCATTTTAAATTTGTATTTTTTCTCCTGGCCCTTATCTCAAAAAACACAATCCCGTGATTTATGAGAGAGAAGCATGAAATCATTTGCAGGTGGTCGGAGGTCTAAGATTTTTTTTCCCATAAACCACATGCTACGCAATCAACGATATGAAAATAGAAAACCGAGGGAGATGGCTTTGTTTAACATTCTCAAGGCAAAGGTCACGGCGTCTGCCCCAGAAGAGAAAAATCGTTTAATCATATATGAATATATTCATAAAAATGGCTATGCGTTTATCTATGTATCCTATGATTAGAAGCACTCCAAGCAAATGTGTTACTGTCAGTAAGAAGTCCGGCAAGCGGATAAACAAGATCCTCACAATATAATGTTTATGCATACTTATATGAAAATATGTGCCTTTTGTTATATTAATATATATAAGCTTGTTTTACTTTGCAATTGTTGATAATTTTCTACTTCGTTGTTTTTCCTCGTTTGCATTTGTGGTAACATAATAGCATGTGCGAACCCTGTTTAAACAAATTTTAACTTTGAATTTTAAAACTAACGTTTAGGAGGCAAAGGTAAGTTCATGTATGTCTGTCTGTACATATCGTTTTAGTTATACAGCACTTTATAAATTCCCAGTGTTATCACTATGTCGAGTATTGTTTAGACGTGTTAACATTTCTGTTAAGTGTTACAAGATTTTCAGTTTAATCATTTTCAACGTAAAATATAGTCAACAGATTTCATTTGAGCGTAGGCGGATGTGGTCTCGTAAATAGGGGCAGGCGTGTAGGCTTATACTCGAGATACTAGGCCTCACCCTCCTAGTTGACCTCGGCCACGTATCCTGTCGCTGTTGACACTGTAGGCAACCATCAGGAAGAACATATTTTACAAATATAGTTTAAGCACCGCTATCATCAGATTCAATTTCCAAAATGTTACATACCTCGTAGGTAGGCTGAGGAGCATAGCCATAAGCTGGTTGAGAATGAGTAGAGGCAGCTGCGGCCGCGAGGGTGAGGGTAACGACAGTCTAGAAGGAAGCAATATACTGTGTTGTGTTCCTTTACTTTATATGCATAATTACATGACAGTTATAGTTTTTATTGAAGCTTTCCCTTATCATAAATCTGCTTGATTGATAATACTGTTATCATAGTGAACAAGATGAATGTTGATTGATGACTCTGGTCATCAATCAACTCCCTTTTATCATAGTCACGCGCCATTTGTTACCTTTAATTCTATCAATCATCTCTTTCAGTAAAAGGACCTTATAGTCCTAAGAGAGAATAGCAGTAAAATATAGGCACTATTTATATAATCAGTTGGTTTCCGGAAAATACTAGATTTTTCAGAATTCAAGATAATACAATTGACGTTACAATACAAATGATTAAACATTGGATATATACGGTATTTGTTATTTGTGTAACAATATAACATCTAATCATAAATTCAGTTTAGATCGTATTAGAAAAAACAAAACAAAAAAAAACATTGAATTGGAAGCTTCAGAATAATCTTCAGACTTAATTGATGTATCGATTTACAGACTTATATATGTATATATATGTAGGTGTACATATATACATGCATATACATATGTATGTATATATATATGTATGTATGTGTGTTTGTGCGCGCGCGCGCGCGTGCGTGAGTGTGTGTGTGTGTGTGTGTGTGTGCGCGTGTGCTGTATCAGTTTGATTACTTTGAGTTTATACTACTTTGGGACTTTCAGAATATGTAAAGGAAAACACGTATCTATGGATGTCCGCTAAAATCGAGAGAACCGAAGAAATATATAGGCCACTTATAGTGCGGCATCGAAAGGCGCGGTTTTAGGAAGAGGAAAAATCAGCTTGGTTATTCCGCTGCGGTCGCTACTGTGATGATAAGTGACCGGGCAAGGTAATCGGATAAAAAATTTGAAGACGAAGGTGGACCGGATGTATGAGAAAAACATGTATTGTATGCATATACGTATGTACACGTAGATATATCTGCATGTGCATAATGTACATATCCGCCGCTGTAAGTCAATAGGACCGCCCTTCCACTTGGTAAATTATAATATTAGGTATTATCATTCTAAATTATATACGGGTGGCGATGGTTAATCCATGTCTGTTAGAGTCCTTGTTTCTAAGAACAATATTTTCCATTACTACGAGTCCAATCTCTAGGCCTATTACTAATGCATTATCCGGTCCTTTTTTATCGTATCCGAATTCCGTGTGGACTTCTAATACACTTTGTTTTGATATGGGGAAAGGACAAATGGTACTAGAATTTCAGTTTAATAAATATCTATAAACACATTTTGATCGAAGTTCATTTAGGCGTAGGCTGGAGTGGTCTCATAGGTAGGGGCAGGTTCGTATGCAGGGGCAGGCTTGTAGGCAGGTGCGGGATGGTAAGAAGGAGCAGGCTTGTAGGCAGGTGCAGGATGGTAAGGAGCAGGCTTGTACTCGGGGTACTGGGCCTCACCCTCGTAGCTGACCTCAGCCACATAGCCGGAGTCGCCGTTGACAGTGTAAGCAACCTTCTGCAGACGACCGTCAGGAAGAAGAACGTAGTAGGAACCCTGAGTGTCATAGCCATCACGGGCCTCCTGGTGACCGAAGTCGTTGCCGGAGTAGTCATCCTTCACTGCATAGTTGAAGTCGTACTTGGCAGGGACCTGGAAAGGTTACACAAAATTAGAATCATACAATACCAGATTTTCGGTCATAATATATCAATCCTTTACGAATTCAGTGATACTCTTCACATTGTCAATTCTAAAAAAAAGAAGAAATACAAACCTCATAGGTTGGCTGAGGAGCATAGCCATAGGCTGGCAGAGAAGGAGCAGCAGCAGCAACAGCCACGAGGGCAAGGGCAACAACAGCCTAGAAGAGATGCAATAAATCTTATTATAAGTTCTTTCTTTTTATGCAGATTAACTTAACACAAGGCACATTGACATGGGATATAAAAAAAATATTGTTTCACACTGAAGCTCTCTTTATATGACTGATAATTGTTACCTTAGTGAACATGATGAAGGTAGACGAAGAGTGATGCTCCGGTCATCAAGCGCGTCCCTTTTATACTGTAGTCCACGAGTCCAGCAGACACGCCCCCTTCCTTCCTGCCTTCCTTCCGTGCGTCCTTTACCTTGAATTACATCCATCATCTTCCTTTCCATTAATGAGCATTCTTCTATATCTGAAAAGAAATTGGCGCCATAAATTATCAGCTGATTCATAAATTATCAGCTGATGCAAGTGTTGAAACACACACAAACTGAATAGATAATATATATACATATGATATGAATGTATGAATGTATATATATATTGCAAAATTTATTTTACAAAATAAAATGACGTTGAAAGTACGAGGTCGATCAAATTATTTTTGATTTGGATGTGATATGTACATTAGAAATTTATAATAAATTCTCACTTATTTTAGTGGCTATGATATATATCATGATATACATATACATGCATATACATACATACTTATATATACATATATATACATATACATATCTATATACATATATATATATAATATATAAACACACGTATTTTTGTATATGTATGTACAGACATACAAACATTCCACCAACAATATCCTCCAGCGCAGAATGGCCACTTATAGAAAGGAACAAGATGGATATAATTCAAGGTAAAGGTCGCAGGAAGGAAGGAAGGAAAGGGCGTGTCTACTGGACTTGTGGACTACGGTATAAAATGGACTCGCTAGGTGGCCGGAGCATCACACTTCTACCTCTATCATGTTCACTAAGGTAAGAAATATGAATCTGGTAAATTGATATTTATAATAAGAGATATCTTCCAGTGCAAAACATGTGCATATAAAGAAAAGGAACTAACGTGATAGGATACTTTATTCTAGGCTGTCGTTGCCCTCGCCATCGTGGCCGTTGCTGCTTCTGCTCCTTCTCAGCCAGCTTACGGCTATGCTCCTCAGCCTGCCTACGAGGTTTGTAAAATTCTGGGTATTTGAATTGTTAATGACAGTGATACTACATTTGTAAAGTACTGATATATTATGACATGATATTTAGTATGGTATGATTTTAATTTTGTGCAACTTTTCCAGGTCCCTGCCAAGTACAACTTCAACTATGCCGTGAAGGACGACTACTCCGGAAATGACTTCGGTCACCAGGAGGCTCGCGACGGTTACGATACTCAGGGTTCATACTATGTTCTCCTTCCCGACGGTCGTCTGCAGAAGGTCGCCTACACTGTCAACGGCGACTCCGGTTTCGTAGCCGAGGTCAGCTACGAGGGCGAAGCCCAGTACCCCGAGTACAAGCCTGCGCCTGCCTACAAGCTTGCTCCTGCCTACAAGCCTGCTCCTGCTTACCATCCCGCACCTGCCTACAAGCCCGCCCCTACCTACAAGCCCGCCCCTACCTACGAACCTGCTCCTACCTACGAGACCACCCCAGCCTACGCTTAAACGAACTTGAATTGAATATATATTTAAAAAAAATATATTTATTAAAACTGAAAGTCTAGTAACACTGTTTTATGACCTTGTTAATTTGAAGATAAATGTTACTGTTCACACAATATTGGACATGTCTATGATACCTGTAGGTATTTTTTACGTAGCACCATATATGTAAATGCGGAATTTCTAACCATATATAAGTAATGATTTTAGGAGCATTTAAAAATCAATATTTGGTATCATTTAAACGCAGGTGAACACACCTCCGATTCTGGCATGAAAATCAGAATGGCTAATGTCAACTGTTCCACTAGACATTTGTTTAACTTCCGTAATAGAAACCGGGAGTGGTTTGCACGCAATGTTGCCTTGTGGGGAAGAGCCCAAGAAGACTAGTTTTTAACATGCAAATAATCACGTAGAAGCAGTGCCCCACCTAACCATAGTTGCCATTATGCATATACATATATAAACGAACATATAAAGCGTGATTTTCCCTTCCTTACAGTTCAGATATCGCAACATTCGCTACGTTGCCTTCTTCCTTGTGGCTGTCGCTGTGTCTGCTCCTTTCCATGCTGTTTTTGGCTGTCTTTCAGCTTATCTCAGGTGTGTAGTATATTGAAACGGTGGTAATAAAATTACTATATATATAAGTTATGGATGTATTACGAATGAGAATTTATTATTGCATTTTAAATGTGTATATTTTTTCCTGGCCCTTACCTCAAAAAACACAATCCTGTGATTTATGAGAGAGAAGCATGAAATCATTTGCAGGTGGTCGGAGGTCTAAGATTTTTTTTCCCTTAAACCACATGCTACGCAATCAACGATATGAAAATAGGAAACCGAGGGAGATGGCTTTGTTTAACATTCTCAAGGCAAAGGTCACGGCGTCTGCCCCAGAAGAGAAAAATCGTTTAATCATATATGAATATATTCATAAAAATGGCTATGCGTTTATCTATGTATCCTATGATTAGAAGCACTCCAAGCAAATGTGTTACTGTCAGTAAGAAGTCCGGCAAGCGGATAAACAAGAACCTCACAATATAATGTTTATGCATACTTATATGAAAATATGTGCCTTTTGTTATATTAATATATATAAGCTTGTTTTACTTTGCAATTGTTGATAATTTTCTACTTCGTTGTTTTTCCTCGTTTGCATTTGTGGTAACATAATAGCATGTGCGAACCCTGTTTAAACAAATTTTAACTTTGAATTTTAAAACTAACGTTTAGGAGGCAAAGGTAAGTTCATGTATGTCTGTCTGTACATATCGTTTTAGTTATACAGTACTTTATAAATTCCCAGTGTTATCACTATGTCGAGTATTGTTTAGACGTGTTAACATTTCTGTTAAGTGTTACAAGATTTTTAGTTTAATCATTTTCAACGAAAAATATAGTCAACAGATTTCATTTAAGCGTAGGCGGGTGTGGTCTCGTAAATAGGGGCAGGCGTGTAGAAGGCTTATACTCGAGATACTAGGCCTCACCCTCCTAGTTGACCTCGGCCACGTATCCTGTCGCTGTTGACACTGTAGGCAACCATCAGGAAGAACATATTTTACAAATATAGTTTAAGCCCCGCTATCATCAGATTCAATTTCCAAAATGTTACATACCTCGTAGGTAGGCTGAGGGCATAGCCATAAGCTGGTTGAGAATGAGTAGAGGCAGCTGCGGCCGCGAGGATGAGGGTAACGACAGTCTAGAAGGAAGCAATATATTGTGTTGTGTTCCTTTACTTTATATGCATAATTACATGACAGTTATAGTTTTTATTGAAGCTTTCCCTTATCATAAATCTGCTTGATTGATAATACTGTTATCATAGTGAACAAGATGAATGTTGATTGATAACTCTGGTCATCAATCAACTCCCTTTTATTATAGTCACGCGCCATTTGTTACCTTTAATTCTATCAATCATCTCTTTCAGTAAAGGACCTTATAGTCCTAAGAGAAAATAGCAGTAAAATATAGGCACTATTTATATAATCAGTTGGTTTCCGGAAAATATAGAATTTTCAGAATTCAAGATAATACAATTGACGTTACAATACAAATGATTAAACATTGGATATATACGGTATTTGTTATTTGCGTAACAATATAACATCTAATCATAAATTCAGTTTAGATCGTATTAGAAAAAACAAAACAAAAAAAAAACATTGAATTGGAAGCTTCAGAATAATCTTCAGACTTAATTGATGTATCGATTTACAGACCTATATATGTATATATATGATGTAGGTGTACATATATACATGCATATACATATGTATGTATGTATATATATATGTATGTATGTGTGTGTTTGTGCGTGTGTGTGTGTGTGCGCGTGTGCCGTATCAATTTGATTACTTTGAATTTATACTACTTTGGGACTTTCAGAATATGTAAAGGAAAACACGTATCTATGGATGTCCGCTAAAATCGAGAGGACCGAAGAAATATATAGGCCACTTATAGTGCGGCATCGAAAGGCGTGGTTTTAGGAAGAGGAAAAATCAGCTTGGTCATTCCGCTGCGGTCGCTACTGTGATAAGTGACCGGGCAAGGTAATCGGATAAAAATTTTGAAGACGAAGGTGGACCGGATGTATGAGAAAAACATGTATTATATGTATATACGTATGTACACGTAGATATATCTGCATGTGCATAATGTACATATCCGCCGCTGTAAGTCAATAGGACCGCCCTTCCACTTGGTAAATTATAATATTAGGTATTATCATTCTAAATTATATACGGGTGGCGATGGTTAATCCATGTCTGTTAGAGTCCTTGTTTCTAAGAACAATATTTTCCATTACTACGAGTCCAATCTCTAGGCCTATTACTAATGCAATATCCGGTCCTTTTTTATCGTATCCGAATTCCGTGTGGACTTCTAATACACTTTGTTTTGATATGGGGAAAGGACAAATGGTACTAGAATTTCAGTTTAATAAATATCTATAAACACATTTTGATCGAAGTTCATTTAGGCGTAGGCTGGAGTGGTCTCATAGGTAGGGGCAGGTTCGTATGCAGGGGCAGGCTTGTAGGCAGGTGCGGGATGGTAAGAAGGAGCAGGCTTGTAGGCAGGTGCAGGATGGTAAGGAGCAGGCTTGTACTCGGGGTACTGGGCCTCACCCTCGTAGCTGACCTCAGCCACATAGCCGGAGTCGCCGTTGACAGTGTAAGCGACCTTCTGCAGACGACCATCAGGAAGAAGAACGTAGTAGGAACCCTGAGTGTCATAGCCATCACGGGCCTCCTGGTGACCGAAGTCGTTGCCGGAGTAGTCATCCTTCACTGCATAGTTGAAGTCATACTTGGCAGGGACCTGGAAAGGTTACACAAAATTAGAATCATACAGTACCAGATTTTCGGTCATAATATATCAATCCTTTACGAATTCAGCCATACTCGTCATATTGCTAATTCTAAAAAAAGAAAAAAAAGGAAGAAATACAAACCTCATAGGTTGGCTGAGGAGCATAGCCATAGGCTGGCAGAGAAGGAGCAGCAGCAGCAACAGCCACGAGGGCAAGGGCAACAACAGCCTAGAAGAGGTGCAATAAATCTTATTACAGGTTCCTTTCTTTTTATGCGGATTAACATAACACAAGGCACATTGACATGGGATATAAAAAAGCTATTGTTTCACACTGAAGCTATCTTGATATGACTGATAATTCTTACCTTAGTGAACATGATGAAGGTAGACGACGAGTGATGCTTCGGTCATCAAGTGCGTCCCTTTTATACCGTAGTCCACGAGTCCAGCAGACACGCCCCCTTCCTTCCTTCCTTCCTTCCGTGCGACCTTTACCTTGAATTACTTCCATTATCTTCCTTTCTATTAATGAACATTCTTCGATATCTGAAAATAAATTGGCGCTATAAATTATCAGCTGATTCGCTGCAAGCGTTGAAACACACAAAATGAATAGATAATATATATATATGTACATGAATACGTATATATAAATTGCAAAAATTATTTTACAAAATAAAAGGACGTTGAAAGTACAAGGTCGTTCAATTTACTCTTGATTTGGATGTGTTGTGTACATTAGAATTTAATAATAATTTCTCACTTATTTTTGTGGTCCTGATATATATTATGATATACATATACATGTATATACATACATACTTATATATACATATATATACATATACATATCTACATACATATATATGTATGTATATTCACATATGTACATATATATATATATATATATATATATATATATATGCATGTATATATATGTGCATTTATATATATATATATATATATATCCATACACATACACGCACATTTATATATATGTATGTCGATGTATTTGCATATAAACACCCTCCACATACATACATACATATATATGTATATATATATACATGTATGTATATGTATTTATTGTGTGTGTATATGTTTATTGACTTACATATACTTACGAAGTATATAAGTAAGGTGTGTATGTATGAATAAGTGTATGTACGTATGTCCAAACCTAGCTACATATAGATACTTAGTAAGTTGTCATGGATATTCTTGCGGCCATTTTTTCATTTACGTCTTGTGGTGTAGACGACATCAGAGACGATCCGAAGGCGGCCTAATTAACGCCTTCAAGGCGAAGGTCGCGGTGTCCGGACCGGAAGGAAGGGAAGGCATGTCTTCTATGTACAGTATGTATACGATTATATGTACGGCCCCCTTAGATTAACTGTTCCGCTTTCCAATTCTAACCATAATAGAGCATCATTAATTTGTTTGCTTCAGCGTCATAATATTGTATCTAGATTAGTCAACGGATGTCTTAGTCACTACCCTTTTTTCCAGTCGAAGGTTACCTTGGATTATATCAAATATCTTCCCTTCTGTAAATATTTTGCTGTCTGTAAAAGCAAATTCTTACATGTAGCGCACACACATTTTATATATATGTATATACGTATAAAAATAAACAAATAAATGAATAAATATATACATACATACACACACAAATACACACATGTGCATAACATACATAAATACATGCATATATATATACATATATATACATATATATACACACACATGCACACACACACACAGATATATATACATACATATATACAGATATAGATACAGATAAGTATAAGATACAGTAGATATAGATTCCCAAAGCAGTATAAATTCACACGCACACACATACACATATATATACACATACATATATATGTATATATATATGTATGTGTATATAAAAATGTATAATCAATTTGATGTTACACTACAAAAGGCATCTTGAGTATTAAAGGTCAGTACTCTGAATGGCTTTATTATTGTATTGCCGAATCCGTTAATTCAATAAATTTGAATATTCATTTCAAAACAAACAGGATATCTTTTCAGGTTTAATTTCGAAGTTATGCATCAGTTACAAGACCAAAGCTTCGCAATGCATAAGCCCGAAGGAGGGAAGAGGGAATTTAACAAATAACACGACTATCCATACAATCATGTATACATTTGGGAACGTATCTACAAACACATATAGACAGAAGTGGATGTTAAAAAAACGAACAGAAAGTAATTTTGGAGTTTGTAGCTATGCATGTGTACGTCTGTACGTTAAAATCTAGAGAGTACAATGTGCATATCCAGAACGGGAGCAAAAAGCGCAGATTTAAAAAGAGGCATTTGGCAGATAGTCGAAAATTTTCTTCAACATCTTAGGTTGATGTAAGAAGAAGACACCAGACAAGGTGGTCAGATTATCTTCAAGGTGAAGGTCACAGTGTCTGGAACTGAAAGTAGGAGAAAGGTGTGTCATATATGTATCTCTGTATTTATGTATGAAAGCATCTGTACTGTGTGCATAACCGCGGTCGTAACCTCATTTCTAAATATGTTTCAAATATAATTAAGTTACTTAACTTAACACTATTATCAAGTTTTCATAAAGAAAGTGAAATAGATTTTAACCTGAACATATTGAATTATCATTCTCAATTCTATAAAGGAAGCGATGGTCAGTCTTCCAGTTTTATTCCCAATTATTAAGTATGCACTCTCTGGTTTACAGCACTAATCCAATCTTGGCACTATGGGAACGTGCCAACATTTGTAATGTGTAGACGGGCTAACATTTAGTTTTAATGTTAACATAGGGATAAATAGATGTTACTAGAATTTCAGTTTAATAAATATCTTATATAATTTTAAGTAAAGATCATTTAGGCATAGGTTGGGGTGGCCTTGTAGGTAGGAGCAGGTTCGTAGGCAGGAGCAGGTTTGTAAGCAGGGGCAGGTTTGTAGGCAGGTGCAGGATGGTAAGGAGCAGGCTTGTACTCGGGGTACTGGGCCTCACCCTCGTAGCTGACCTCGGCCACGTAACCGGAGTCGCCGTTGACAGTGTAGGCGACCTTCTGCAGGCGGCCGTCGGGAAGAAGAACGTAATAGGAACCTTGAGTGTCGTAGCCATCACGGGCCTCCTGGTGACCGAAGTCGTTGCCGGAGTAGTCGTCCTTCACGGCGTAGTTGAAGTCATATTTGGCAGGGACCTTGGAAAAGTTGAACAGAATTTAGAAGCAGATCGGATTTCCGGTCATAAAATAATAGTATTATACCAGTGCAGTGATACTACGATTGTTATTAATTTAATTCTCAACTTTATACAAACCTCATAGGTAGGCTGAGGGGCATAGCCATAGCCTGGTTGAGAAGGAGCAGAGGCAGCAACGGCCACGAGGGCGAGGGCAACTACAGTCTAAAAGAAAGTAACGTATTATCACAATATTCTTTCTTTTTAGACATATTAATGTCAGTTATACGGAGTATGACGCTATTACATCCATAGAGAAGCTATATCCTATCATAAATCTGAAATCGTATTACCTTAATGAACATGTTGGAAGTAGAAGTGTGATGCTCCGGTCATCAAGTGAGTCCCTTTTATACCGCAGGCCATGGGCCCAGTAGACACGCCCTTAACCTTGAATTAGAACCATCTTCCTTTCCATAAATGACCATTCTCCTGTCTACAATACGAAATTCTTTAATGCAGCATATATATATTTATTTATTCATATATATAACATATAGGTTTATGCATATGTCTATTAATTTATTCATAAATGCATACAAAAAAACACACAGGCACACTCACACATACACATATATGTTTATACAGACACAAGCATATATATATATATATGCATATATATACAGTAGATAGATGCTGTATATATATATATTCACATAAATTGCACACACACATATAGATATATATACACACATAAATTTCACACACATATATAGATGTATATACACATATATATGCACACACGCATATATAAATATACACTGAAAAGGAAAATATGTATATACATACATCTATATGTATATATATATGTATATATACATCTATATGTATATATATATATATATATATATATATATATATATATATATAGACAATTACACCGCGACCATAAATGTGTTAATCCGGTATTAATGCTTAAAGCAGCAGTACTTGGATGAAACATTCAGGTCCTACTGCTCTCAAACACCCTCTAGAACTTGCAGGGCATTCTAATAAAAGTTTAAATTAACATAGTCTGCAGTTTTCCGTTCATTGGACAAGCGGACAGACGGACACTCCATTGTTTATAAATCTTTATCTAGCCATGTAGGGATCTTTGTATTTAAACGCATACTCGTGTTTAAATGATTCACGGCCGGAGTCGATCATGTATGACAAGAATGGCGTTTTTATTAATGTATCGATACCATCTCGGAGGGGATGATTTACAAGGCTGAGAATCGGGCACGGAAGAATGATTCATGGGCCGATGATAGCTAAAAGGGAAGCATGTTGTGAGGGTTATTAAAAGCCATTAACTGTCGCACATGTAACGGAAAGATGTGCAACATTCTCAGAGCAAAGATGTATGAACTTGTCTCACCCATATACACAGAAAAAAAAATGTAATGAGGGAGTTTTTGTAAGTTTCCTAAGGGAGACTAAAAAAAAAAAAAAAAAAAAAAAATATGCATATGTATGCAATCCTTTTATACATTTAAAGCCTAATGTTCGTGCTTTGATTTTAATATATCTATAGTTCTTTATATTTACTTATAGGAGACATTTTTTCTTGATAACGTTTTAAACTTATAGGAGACATTTTTTCTTGATAACGTTTTAAACGTTTTGAATATTTTAGCTTTTAATCCCACAAGGTATTCGCCGATAATGACCGTAGCTGTTGACGAGACAGATAATTTTAAATAATTATTTTCTTATTATCGGCTTGACATTATATAGATCTATATATTTATCTATTTATCAATCTGATTAACAAGTTCACGAAGCATTATATATATATATATATATTTTTTTTTTTTACAAAAAAATCACTCACAACTGGATCTACTGGTATACTGTCAATTTAGCAATTTACTTTAACACAAGAAATTTTTCAGACGTGATTTCAAGAATGTGTATCAATCATATGTAATAATATTTTGTGTGAAGTTGAGAGCGAAAATTGAAATTTATCCATATGCTTCGGATTACCGTGTTATGATAATCTATGCATCATTTATCTATTTATAAACATATAAGTAGATAAAGAGATGGTAAATGTGCGTGTGTCTTCATATACACATGCAGATATTTGGAAAGCAAGTAGATGATCATATTGGAGTATGATTATACATGTGTACTTCTCTCTGCTAAAATTTAGACGGGAAAAAAGAAAAAATACATGGACCAGGTATGGGCAGTAGCATAAAGTGCGCTTCGAGAGAGAAAATCAGCTTGGGACTTTTAGAGGTGTTCGAGGTTTGCCTAGAGCGTGTCTGAAGAAATAGGAAGGAATTTATCGTCAATGCGCGGTCGATGGTAGAATGAGAGGAGACCGGACAGAGTAGTCAGATTAATATCCTCAAGGCGAAGGTCGCAGTGCCTGGAAGCGGAAGCAAGGGAGAAGAGTGTCTTTCTGATTGTATGTATATATTTTTACGTATAAAATTTTGCATGTCCACATGTGCGGCATGGTAGGTGGGTGCGGGCTTGTAAGCAGGGGCGGGCTTGTAGGCAGGTGCGGCATGGTAGGTGGGTGCGGGCTTGTAAGCAGGGGCGGGCTTGTAGGCAGGTGCGGCATGGTAGGTGGGTGCGGGCTTGTAAGCAGGGGCGGGCTTGTAGGCAGGTGCGGCATGGTAGGTGGGTGCGGGCTTGTAAGCAGGGGCGGGCTTGTAGGCAGGTGCGGCATGGTAGGTGGGTGCGGGCTTGTAAGCAGGGGCGGGCTTGTAGGCAGGTGCGGCATGGTAGGTGGGTGCGGGCTTGTAAGCAGGGGCGGGCTTGTAGGCAGGTGCGGCATGGTAGGTGGGTGCGGGCTTGTAAGCAGGGGCGGGCTTGTAGGCAGGTGCGGCATGGTAGGTGGGTGCGGGCTTGTAAGCAGGGGCGGGCTTGTAGGCAGGTGCGGCATGGTAGGTGGGTGCGGGCTTGTAAGCAGGGGCGGGCTTGTAGGCAGGTGCGGCATGGTAGGTGGGTGCGGGCTTGTAAGCAGGGGCGGGCTTGTAGGCAGGTGCGGCATGGTAGGTGGGTGCGGGCTTGTAAGCAGGGGCAGGCTTGTAGGCAGGTGCGGCATGGTAGGTGGGTGCGGGCTTGTAAGCAGGGGCGGGCTTGTAGGCAGGTGCAGGATGGTAGGTGGGTGCGGGCTTGTAAGCAGGGGCGGGCTTGTAGGCAGGTGCGGCATGGTAGGTGGGTGCGGGCTTGTAAGCAGGGGCGGGCTTGTAGGCAGGTGCGGCATGGTAGGTGGGTGCGGGCTTGTAAGCAGGGGCGGGCTTGTAGGCAGGTGCGGCATGGTAGGTGGGTGCGGGCTTGTAAGCAGGGGCGGGCTTGTAGGCAGGTGCGGCATGGTAGGTGGGTGCGGGCTTGTAAGCAGGGGCGGGCTTGTAGGCAGGTGCGGCATGGTAGGTGGGTGCGGGCTTGTAAGCAGGGGCGGGCTTGTAGGCAGGTGCGGCATGGTAGGTGGGTGCGGGCTTGTAAGCAGGGGCGGGCTTGTAGGCAGGTGCGGCATGGTAGGTGGGTGCGGGCTTGTAAGCAGGGGCGGGCTTGTAGGCAGGTGCGGCATGGTAGGTGGGTGCGGGCTTGTAAGCAGGGGCGGGCTTGTAGGCAGGTGCGGCATGGTAGGTGGGTGCGGGCTTGTAAGCAGGGGCGGGCTTGTAGGCAGGTGCGGCATGGTAGGTGGGTGCGGGCTTGTAAGCAGGGGCGGGCTTGTAGGCAGGTGCGGCATGGTAGGTGGGTGCGGGCTTGTAAGCAGGGGCGGGCTTGTAGGCAGGTGCGGCATGGTAGGTGGGTGCGGGCTTGTAAGCAGGGGCGGGCTTGTAGGCAGGTGCGGCATGGTAGGTGGGTGCGGGCTTGTAAGCAGGGGCGGGCTTGTAGGCAGGTGCGGCATGGTAGGTGGGTGCGGGCTTGTAAGCAGGGGCGGGCTTGTAGGCAGGTGCGGCATGGTAGGTGGGTGCGGGCTTGTAAGCAGGGGCGGGCTTGTAGGCAGGTGCGGCATGGTAGGTGGGTGCGGGCTTGTAAGCAGGGGCGGGCTTGTAGGCAGGTGCGGCATGGTAGGTGGGTGCGGGCTTGTAAGCAGGGGCGGGCTTGTAGGCAGGTGCGGCATGGTAGGTGGGTGCGGGCTTGTAAGCAGGGGCGGGCTTGTAGGCAGGTGCGGCATGGTAGGTGGGTGCGGGCTTGTAAGCAGGGGCGGGCTTGTAGGCAGGTGCGGCATGGTAGGTGGGTGCGGGCTTGTAAGCAGGGGCGGGCTTGTAGGCAGGTGCGGCATGGTAGGTGGGTGCGGGCTTGTAAGCAGGGGCGGGCTTGTAGGCAGGTGCGGCATGGTAGGTGGGTGCGGGCTTGTAAGCAGGGGCGGGCTTGTAGGCAGGTGCGGCATGGTAGGTGGGTGCGGGCTTGTAAGCAGGGGCGGGCTTGTAGGCAGGTGCGGCATGGTAGGTGGGTGCGGGCTTGTAAGCAGGGGCGGGCTTGTAGGCAGGTGCGGCATGGTAGGTGGGTGCGGGCTTGTAAGCAGGGGCGGGCTTGTAGGCAGGTGCGGCATGGTAGGTGGGTGCGGGCTTGTAAGCAGGGGCGGGCTTGTAGGCAGGTGCGGCATGGTAGGTGGGTGCGGGCTTGTAAGCAGGGGCGGGCTTGTAGGCAGGTGCGGCATGGTAGGTGGGTGCGGGCTTGTAAGCAGGGGCGGGCTTGTAGGCAGGTGCGGCATGGTAGGTGGGTGCGGGCTTGTAAGCAGGGGCGGGCTTGTAGGCAGGTGCGGCATGGTAGGTGGGTGCGGGCTTGTAAGCAGGGGCGGGCTTGTAGGCAGGTGCGGCATGGTAGGTGGGTGCGGGCTTGTAAGCAGGGGCGGGCTTGTAGGCAGGTGCGGCATGGTAGGTGGGTGCGGGCTTGTAAGCAGGGGCGGGCTTGTAGGCAGGTGCGGCATGGTAGGTGGGTGCGGGCTTGTAAGCAGGGGCGGGCTTGTAGGCAGGTGCGGCATGGTAGGTGGGTGCGGGCTTGTAAGCAGGGGCGGGCTTGTAGGCAGGTGCGGCATGGTAAGTAGGAGCAGGCTCGTAAGTAGGGGCAGGCTTGTAGGCAGGTGCGGCATGGTAGGTGGGTGCGGGCTTGTAAGCAGGGGCGGGCTTGTAGGCAGGTGCAGGATGGTAAGGAGCAGGCTTGTACTCAGGGTACTGAGCCTCACCCTCGTAGCTGACCTCAGCCACGTAACCAGAGTCGCCGTTGACAGTGTAAGCGACCTTCTGCAGACGACCGTCGGGAAGAAGAACGTAATAGGAACCCTGAGTGTCATAACCATCACGGGCCTCCTGGTGACCAAAGTCGTTGCCGGAGTAGTCGTCCTTCACTGCATAGTTGAAGTCATACTTGGCAGGGACCTGGAAAAGTTACACAAAGTTAAGATCATACAGTGACATGATATATCAATAAATTACAATTACAGTAATAGTAATAAAATTAATTCTCAAAATCTTACAGACCTCATAAGCAGGTTCAGGAGCATAACCGTAAGCTGGCTGAGACGGAGCAGAGGCAGCAAAGGCCACGAGGGCGAGGGCAACGACAGCCTAGAAGGAAGAAATATATATTACGATTTCTTTTCTTTTTAATTCACATAGACATACCATGGTTGCCCAGAACATGACACTATTCTTTATACTGAAACTATCGCTTATCGTGAATAAGTATTAGCTAGGTATCTAATACTTCTCACCTTAGTGAACATGTTGGAGGTGTGATGCTCCAGTCATCAAGCGAGTCCCTTTTATACTGTAGTCCACGAGTCTAGTAGCCACGCCCCTTCATTTCGTGCGACCTTTACCTTCAATTAGGTTCATCATTTTCCTTTTCACAAATTCTGCGATCTCTAAAGTATATTTGATGCTGTAGCAACGTTTAAATGCGCTATGCATTTATAATTAATTGTTTTATAGGAAATAAACTTGTGAAGTTCGAAATACTGTACATAAAAAAACGATGAGTATAGGTCAATTACATATATTGGTTCCAGTTACTTCAAACAGGATTTCGATATAAAAGACCGTCTTATAACATTTATTTGCATAGAATATTTTCCCCGCATCCTTCGGATTACGCTATAATACTATATATGGAGTCCGTACACACACATACATACACATAAGTATATATACATGTATATATTTACTTATATAAATGCATATATACATGTAAAACCAGACGTGTGCGTGTTTATTCTCTCTATATATAGATATACATACACATGTATGTGTGTATGCGTGTGTGTATACTTTTTTATGAACATATATGTACTCACGCACACGCACACACACATATATATACGTATTTATACATATGCATAAACATAATAGATGTTATATATGTTATTAGCTGATTAGTGGTAATTGTTAAAATTCACACACACACACAAAAGTATAATTTAAGATTATTAAACCGATGTTGTACATTGAATGTACAAGGACAGTTGAATTACTCTTGATTTGGATCTGTTAATATAATTCAGATAATTTTGTATCTGTTTGACTTAGTATATGACCTCATGTCTCCTTTCGGCTTACAGTGTTATGATACTATATGTATATAAACACAAAACAGACTCATATATATGCATATGTATACATACATACATAAATACATATATATATATATATATATATGTATATATATATATATATATATATTTACATATATATGTATGTAGATATATATATTGAATGTATATGAATGTTTTTTTGTTTTTTTAATCTATCTATATATATGTGTATGAATATAGTATAACACAGCCGAAAGGAGACATGAAGTCTTACACTCCAGAATTCTTACAATATATATATATATTTATATATATATATATAATATACTAAATGCACACACACACACAACACACACACACACACACACACACTCACACACACATATATATATATATATATATATATATATATATATATGTACATACACATACATATATATGTATATTAATGTGTTTATGTAACATAAGTAACACACACACACATATATATGAATATATATATATATCTTCAAGGCGACACCTTTCCCTTCCTTCCACTGGTGTTTCTTATATGCATCTCAGTATTTATGTATGTATGCATCTGCACTGTGTCCATAATCGCGGTTGTAACTCACTAGGACCTCATTTCTACATGTAAATATGTTTCACTAATAATTAGGTTTAATGCAATAATACAGTTTTCATGAAGCAAGTGGCATAGATTTTATCCTAGAATTACCATGCTCAATTTTTTTAAGGAGGTGTTGGTTAGTTCATGTCTCTTTCCGTGTTTTTTATTCTTTTGATTTAAGAAGTATTATTTGTCGATGACAGAGCCTTTTTTGTAGCATCCCCCCCCCCCCCCCCCCCCCCCCCCCCCCCCCCCCCCCCCCCCCCCCCCCCCCCCCCCCCCCCCCCCCCCCCCCCCCCCCCCCCCCCCCCCCCCCCCCCCCCCCCCCCCCCCCCCCCCCCCCCCCCCCCCCCCCCCCCCCCCCCCCCCCCCCCCCCCCCCCCCCCCCCCCCCCCCCCCCCCCCCCCCCCCCCCCCCCCCCCCCCCCCCCCCCCCCCCCCCCCCCCCCCCCCCCCCCCCCCCCCCCCCCCCCCCCCCCCCCCCCCCCCCCCCCCCCCCCCCCCCCCCCCCCCCCCCCCCCCCCCCCCCCCCCCCCCCCCCCCCCCCCCCCCCCCCCCCCCCCCCCCCCCCCCCCCCCCCCCCCCCCCCCCCCCCCCCCCCCCCCCCCCCCCCCCCCCCCCCCCCCCCCCCCCCCCCCCCCCCCCCCCCCCCCCCCCCCCCCCCCCCCCCCCCCCCCCCCCCCCCCCCCCCCCCCCCCCCCCCCCCCCCCCCCCCCCCCCCCCCCCCCCCCCCCCCCCCCCCCCCCCCCCCCCCCCCCCCCCCCCCCCCCCCCCCCCCCCCCCCCCCCCCCCCCCCCCCCCCCCCCCCCCCCCCCCCCCCCCCCCCCCCCCCCCCCCCCCCCCCCCCCCCCCCCCCCCCCCCCCCCCCCCCCCCCCCCCCCCCCCCCCCCCCCCCCCCCCCCCCCCCCCCCCCCCCCCCCCCCCCCCCCCCCCCCCCCCCCCCCCCCCCCCCCCCCCCCCCCCCCCCCCCCCCCCCCCCCCCCCCCCCCCCCCCCCCCCCCCCCCCCCCCCCCCCCCCCCCCCCCCCCCCCCCCCCCCCCCCCCCCCCCCCCCCCCCCCCCCCCCCCCCCCCCCCCCCCCCCCCCCCCCCCCCCCCCCCCCCCCCCCCCCCCCCCCCCCCCCCCCCCCCCCCCCCCCCCCCCCCCCCCCCCCCCCCCCCCCCCCCCCCCCCCCCCCCCCCCCCCCCCCCCCCCCCCCCCCCCCCCCCCCCCCCCCCCCCCCCCCCCCCCCCCCCCCCCCCCCCCCCCCCCCCCCCCCCCCCCCCCCCCCCCCCCCCCCCCCCCCCCCCCCCCCCCCCCCCCCCCCCCCCCCCCCCCCCCCCCCCCCCCCCCCCCCCCCCCCCCCCCCCCCCCCCCCCCCCCCCCCCCCCCCCCCCCCCCCCCCCCCCCCCCCCCCCCCCCCCCCCCCCCCCCCCCCCCCCCCCCCCCCCCCCCCCCCCCCCCCCCCCCCCCCCCCCCCCCCCCCCCCCCCCCCCCCCCCCCCCCCCCCCCCCCCCCCCCCCCCCCCCCCCCCCCCCCCCCCCCCCCCCCCCCCCCCCCCCCCCCCCCCCCCCCCCCCCCCCCCCCCCCCCCCCCCCCCCCCCCCCCCCCCCCCCCCCCCCCCCCCCCCCCCCCCCCCCCCCCCCCCCCCCCCCCCCCCCCCCCCCCCCCCCCCCCCCCCCCCCCCCCCCCCCCCCCCCCCCCCCCCCCCCCCCCCCCCCCCCCCCCCCCCCCCCCCCCCCCCCCCCCCCCCCCCCCCCCCCCCCCCCCCCCCCCCCCCCCCCCCCCCCCCCCCCCCCCCCCCCCCCCCCCCCCCCCCCCCCCCCCCCCCCCCCCCCCCCCCCCCCCCCCCCCCCCCCCCCCCCCCCCCCCCCCCCCCCCCCCCCCCCCCCCCCCCCCCCCCCCCCCCCCCCCCCCCCCCCCCCCCCCCCCCCCCCCCCCCCCCCCCCCCCCCCCCCCCCCCCCCCCCCCCCCCCCCCCCCCCCCCCCCCCCCCCCCCCCCCCCCCCCCCCCCCCCCCCCCCCCCCCCCCCCCCCCCCCCCCCCCCCCCCCCCCCCCCCCCCCCCCCCCCCCCCCCCCCCCCCCCCCCCCCCCCCCCCCCCCCCCCCCCCCCCCCCCCCCCCCCCCCCCCCCCCCCCCCCCCCCCCCCCCCCCCCCCCCCCCCCCCCTGAATAGGAAACTGGATATACACGTGTAGTAATTTGAATTTAACTTACATACTACTATGAAAATATTACCATTTACCATAATGAACATGTTGAAGATAGTTCGAATGTGATGCTTCAACCACAACAGCAATAAAATGTAAATTTGTTGAACTAAAGTGGGAGGAGGAGGATTCCTTAGTGTAAGGAGGGGAAGGGAAGCTGAGGGTAGCTAGCGACCTGAAAACAAAATAAAGAAGGTGGGCGAGACCCCTTGCGTAGTGTTTTCATTTGGTTTGTCATCGGTGAGTGGAGGGTTGGAAAGCGTGTTTTAATTTGGTTGAATGCCATAGAACCAGGTCAGTTTGATAGCAGACGCTTATTTTACGCCTGTCAGGTATTATCGTGAGAAGAGCTGCTCCTGTTATAGTAAGTCAAGGAACAGTTGTTTTTTATACTCACGTACACACCCCAGGTCCTAGTCCCCGGGCTAGTACAGTGGTTACGCCGATGGGTTGGCGGTTCGCCCAGGCATAAGAAGTTTCAACTGTTGTCTGGCGGTTACTGCTGTGGCTGGGTTGGTTGGGTTAGTGGATAAAGACTAAGTCGTCTCTTCAGCATCGTTGATCGAGTCGGCATCAGTCGACAGGCCGGGCTCCCCTCATAGGTATAGCCCTTGTTATTTTTTTACATCTATTTAATTGTCAATATATGTATCTGTGTACACATATATCATATGGCATATGCGTGTATGTGTGTACGTGTGCTACTTCAACTACACCGTTAAAAACCACTCGGTCATCAGGAGCTCCGTGACGATTATAACACCCAGGGATCCTACTACGTCCTGCTACCCGACGGTCGCTTACAGGTCGCCTATACTGTGATCAGCAACTTTAAGTGGCCGAGGTCAGCTGCGAAGGTGAGGCCCAGAATCCTAAGTACAAGCCTGCTCCTGCCTACAAGCCTGCCCGTATCTGCGAACCCGCCAATGCTTACGTCTAAATATCAAAATTAGAATACATTATTGATGGATATTCATCAAACGACATTTGTAGTACTCACATGAATCAACTACCAGAATAGGAAACTGGATATACACGTGTAGTAATTTGAATTTAACTTACATACTACTATGAAAATATTACCATTTACCATTTATTTTTATTTTTTACATAAGTATATAGCCAACCTGGAGATTAGTTAGCTATAGAAAAAGTTATAATGAGGATACAGATAGGTACACGTGGTCTTATTGTTTTATGTATGTTTTATTTATTTATTATTATTATTGTTTTTTAATTAATTAATCTTTTTTTTTTACGAGGATGAAGCCCGGTTCACCGAGTACATGTTAGCCCTTGTATACAGCTAAATGAATTATGAACATATAAGCGCCGAATAGATGTAAGACTAAATTTTTGTTGACATTTGTGTTTATCATATGACAATCTCGTGTACT